GAGGGAATACTCCCAAACTCATTCTATGAAGCCAACATCACCCTAATACCAAAACCAGGCAAAGACCCCACCAAAAAAGAAAATTACAGACCAATATCCCTGATGAATGTAGATGCAAAAATACTCAATAAAATATTAGCAAACAGAATTCAACAGTATATCAAAAGGATCATACACCATGACCAAGTGGGGTTCATCCCAGGGATGCAAGGATGGTACAACATTCGAAAATCCATCAACATCATCCACCACATCAACAAAAAGAAGGACAAAAACCACATGATCATCTCCAGAGATGCTGAAAAAGCATTCAACAAAATTCAACATCCATTCATGATAAAAACTCCCAACAAAATGGGTATAGAGAGCAAGTACCTCAACATAACAAAGGCCATGACACACCCACAACCAATATCATACTTATCAGCGATAAGCTAAAAGCTTTTCCCTTAAGATCGGGAACAAGATAAGGATGCCCACTCTCCCCATTTTTATTCAACATAATTCTGGAGGTCCTAGCCATGGCAATCAGACAACACAAAGAAATAAAAGGCATCCAGATTGGTAAGGAAGAAGTCAAACTGTCACTGTTTGCAGATGACATGATATTGTACATAAAAATCCCTAAAGACTCCACTCCAAAACTACTAGATCTAATATCTCAGTTCAGTAAAGTAGCAGGATACAAAGTTAACACACAGAAATCTGTGGCATTCCTATACACTAATGATGAACTAGCAGAAAGAGAAATCAGGAAAACAATTCCATTCACAATTGCATCAAAAAGAATAAAATACCTAGGAATAAACCTAACCAAGGAAGTGAACGACTTTTACTCTGAAAATTACAAGACAGTCATGAGAGAAATTAAAGAAGATACCAATAAAAGGAAACACATCCCATGCTCATGGATAGGGAGAATTAATATTGTCAAAATGGCCATCCTGCCTAAAGCAATCTACAGATTCAATGCAATCCCTATCAAAATACCTACAGAATTCTTCAATGAACTAGAGCAAATAGTTCTAAAATTCATATGGAATGATAAAAGACCCCGGATTGCCAAAGCAATCCTGAGAAGGAAGAATAAAGTGGGGGAATTATGCTCCCTGACTTCAAGCTCTACTACAAAGCCACAGTAATCAAGACAATTTGGTACTTGCACAAGAACAGAGCTACAGACCAGTGGAACATACTAGAGAGCCCAGATATAAACCCAAACATATATAGTCAATTAATATGTGATAAAGGAGCCATGGACATACAATGGGGAAATGACAGCCTCTTCATCAGCTGGTGTTGGCAAAACTGGACAGCTACATGTAAGAGAATGGAACTGGATTATTGTCTAACCCCATGCACAAAAGTAAACTCAAAATGGATCAAAGACCTGAACAAAAGTAATGAAACCATAAAACTCTCAGAAAAAAACATAGGCAAAAATCTCCTGGACATAAACACAAGCAACTTCTTCATGAACATATCTCCCTGGGCAAGGGAATCAAAAGCAAAAATGAACAAGTGGGACTACATTAAACAAAACAGTTTCTGTACAGCAAAGGACACCATCAGTAGAACAAAAAGACATCCTACAGTATGGGAGAATATATCCATAAATAACATATCCAATAAGGGGTTGACATACAAATTATGTAAAGAGCTCACACACCTTAACAAAGAAAAAGCAAATAAGCCCATTAAAAAATGGGCAAAGGATCTGAACAGACACTTCTCCAAAGAAGAAATTCAGATAGCCAACAGTCACATGAAAAGATGCTCCACATCACTAATCATCAGAGAAATGCAAATTAAAACTACAGTGAGTTACCACTCCACACCAGTTAGGATGGCCACCATCCAAAAGACAAACAACAGCAAATGTTGGTGAGGATGTTGAGAAAGGGGAACCCTCCTACACTGCTGTTGGAAATGTAAATTAGTTCAACCACTGTGGAAGGCAGTATGGAGGTTCCTCAAAAAACTGAAAATAGAAATACCATTTGACCCAGGAATTCCACTCCTAGGAATTTATCCTAAGGATGCAGCAGCCCAGTTTGAAAAAGACAGATGCACCCCTATGTTTATTGCAGCACTATTCACAATAGCCAAGAAATGGAAGCAACCTAAATGTCCATCAGTACATGAATGGATATAGAGGATGTGGTACATATACACAATGGAATTATTATTCATCCATAAGAAGAAAACAAATCCTACAATTTGCAACACCATTGATGGAGCTAGAGGGTATTACACTCAGTGAAATAATCCAGGTGGAGAAAGACAAGTACCAAATGATTTCACTCATATGTGGAGTATAAGAACAAAGAAAAAACTCAAGGAACAAAACAGCAGCAGACTCACAGAACCCAAGAATGGACTAACAGTTACCAAAGGGAAAGGCACTTGGGAAGATGGGTGCGAAGGGAGGGATAAGGGGGAAAAAGGGGTATTACAATTAGCACACATAATGTGTGTGTGTGTGGGAGGGTGCACAGGGAAGGCAGTATAACACAGAGAAGACAAGTAATGATTGTATAGCATCTTACTACACTGATGGACAGTGACTGTAATGTGGTGTGTGGTGGGGTCTTGATAATAGGGGGAGTCTATTAACCATAAGGTTGCTCATGTAAATGTACATTAACAATACCAAAATAAAATAGATAAATAAATAAAAATAAAGAAAAAGGTAACAGCTGTGATTTGAACTAACCACTGACTCTAAAATCCATGTTTATTCCATCATTATACATTGATGGGAAAATATGTGAGGCTAGGAAACATGTATTTCCTTATTCCTTACTTTAAACATACACAAAATCATCAAATAAAAACAGACTATCATGCTTTCTCTACCCCCTGTCCCAAAAATGTAATATTGTTTAATATTCCAATTAAGCTTAAGATATTTAGGATTATCATTCAACAATGCAGCTTCAAGCAGGGAAATACTTCAATTTTATTGAAATATTCTAGTGATATTTTTGGACACATCTGTGCAATAGAACTAATGTTTCCAAACTTTATACAGTGAAGACTTTATTATGAGAGGCATACTCTAATTCATTTCTCTCCAGATTAATTTTATTCTTTACAAAAGGTGTTTCTTTTATAAAACAGTAAAAATGACAAGCTTCAAATGGGCATTTGGAAAGCACACTCACCATTGCCATTGATCTGTCAAGAGTAGACTCAGGCCCAAACCCAGATACTCCAACATCCATGTTAACATCTGCCCCTGGTCTGAAGGTCACCCCATTTCCATTTTCTGAAGATTTGACAAGACTGCTTAAGCTGAAAAGAAGTAATTGAAACAGGGGCTTATTATTTTCTCAATAACCTTCAGCAATGGTACACTTTCCTCTGTATTGCTAAATACCACTTCACTGAAATGCTCAATTCCCATTCTGAATTTACCAACAAACATAGTAGTAAGTTCCCTGATCTACCTGGAAGTGTTAGAGCACATTCCTAAATGCCCACCAGTAGGCACAACCATCTGAACTATAAAATGTAATTTGCATTCAGGCTTCAAGGTAGCCCTCAGTTAAGAAGTTGTGCTTTGAAGTGACTGCTTTTCATTTGTGCACTACTTTATGCCTCTGCAGAATAGATAAACTACATATTGTACTTTTTTAAGTTAAAAAAAATAACCCAACTATGTTATTCATTCAATCACATCACACACACAGGCTTCTAAAATCAATATTCCACATATTGAAACTGACCTTGGTAGCTTGGGAAGAGAAGGCAAAACGGAGCCAGTTTTCCTGTAGTGGAAAAATCCTAATGCTGTCAAAGCTGCAGTTACGATGATCAGGATGGTTGTTAACAGCACAGCCACAGCTGTCACCAAGAGGGAAGAGGGAGCAGACTTATCAACACGTGGAGAAGGAATAGAGCCAAGAGACTTAGTGGCAGGAGCCTGGGGCAAGAACCACTAATTCTTCAAAGACTATTAAATAGAATATAAACAGCATCCAATTTAGGAGTATGAAGTATTTCCACGTTGCTCATATTCGTAAAACTTACTTGTTCCTGGAGGAATGCCTTCTGAAAGTCCTATTTCACAATAGTTTCCCATGTAGCCACCAGGGCACCTAAAAGTAAGAGAAGATTTTTTCACAAAATGTTGCCTTCTTAGGCTTCTGTTGCAATTTTATAAGCACAACTTGAGGTAGAAAGATGCTTGAGTAAATTACATGTTCAACAGAAAATGTATTCTGCATGACTTTTGTTTATTCTGTTGCTTATTTTAGGGGGCTTTATTTATTTTTATTTTGTTTATTTTGTTTATAACCACGAGATGATGAGCAGAAAGAATAGTAATCTGATTTTGGAAATTCACTTTCAACGGAGTAGCTGTTGCACCTACAGGGTCAGCCTTATTTAATAAAGCCTTTTGGTGTCTTCTCTAACCTATGGAATTCTTCCCTCAACAGTAAAAATGGAAACCAGATTGTGTTCTTTCCTTTGATATGCTTTAATTCAATACTTTTTGAAGACCTCTGTTTCTCTTGCTCTCTGTCAGAGCCTCTCTCTGCTCCTGAACACCTTGCACAGAAGCAGCTCTGCTGACTGCTGCTCTCCTGCAACCCAGTTGTGATTAACACCAGTAGGTGAGTAGGAAAACGTGGTTATCATTTCTCTAACTCCTCCCTCCTCAAAATATAGCCCACAGTCTTGTGGCATCTCCTAGGATCTTGATAGAAATATAGAATCCCTGTGAATTAGATGGACATTTGGTCCAGACTCCAGGTGATTCTTATGCACATGATAGTTGGTGAAGACTACTTTAGTTCTCTGTGGACTCCCCCACAGAGGGCATGCTGGTTAAGATGTGAAAATTAGTGAACTGGCAAGGTTCCTATACTTTTTCCCCATACAAGCAAGGTCTATAGCTCGGCCCTCAATATTCAGACTTACTTGCATTTGGGGAGGTCATTCTCATCAAAATAGCAAATTCCTCCGTACATACACCTGCATGGGGGGGGCATGATGACAGGACTTTCGATGGCTGCAGAAAGGGAGAACCATGCATGTGTTAGTCATACTCAGCAGAGCACACGTCCTGTGCAAACCTGCTTCCAGCCTAAGAGGATGGGGACAGGCAGGTGATCAGTCTCCCTATCAAAACACTACCCTCACCCTTAATCCAGATGAATTTCTTATCAATACTAAGGTCTTGGAGAGCAACATACACTTGGTGGAAAGAAAAGGGAAGTTTATAGTATTCCTCCACCCCAAAACAGTGGAGAGATACTAGACTCCAGAATGTACATTAATCGTTGAAAGAAACTAGTGGTAAAGGAAAGTCTCTTAGGATATTCATGTTCTCATTTGAAATTTTCAGAATTCCCCTCTGTGAGCCCAGCTAAAATTAAGAGTTCAACTTAGGCACAGCTTGAAACTTCAACTAAAAGTTCCAACTAAAAGATCAGCAACGCATCACTCAATAGACAGACACACAGATGCAGATACACAAATGCCTGGTAGACAGCTGGTCATCATGTTTCAGTCCTCCAGAACTGCCCTGGCTCTGGGTTCCTGCTCCAGCTTGGTCCCCAGGACGTCCCTGGATGTGCCTGCTGGGTCATTAGTGTTTCTATGTCTTATACCTAGAAGATGCTTGGTAAGTCTTTATTGCCTGTGTGTTTATTCACAGAGTTTGGTTACCCTTTTGGCTCGGTCCCTCACTTTGTGTCTCTACTCAAAGTTATTAGAGAAGCCTTCCCTGAACTCTCTATCTAAAAAAAAAAAAATGTTTTAAGGCAACCCCACCCCCACCCATCTGCATCCCTCTTACCCGGCTTCAGTTTTCTCCTTTCACTTTTACCACCTGAAATTATACATTTATTGGGTTCCCTATTCATTGTCCTATTAGAATAAAAGCTCAACAAGAGCAGAGAAAGTCTATTTTGCTGACTTGTGTTACTGCCAGTAGTTGGTGTCCAGCATAGAATAGCTACTTTGGACACTATCAAATTAACTGACTAATGTACCAGACCAAGATCCCAATTGGAATGCCTACCATCATCCACATGCCTACTTTGGTTAAAGCTCTTTCAAACAAGAATCTTAATATAATCCACTTGACAAAAATGTAGTGAGGAAAGTGTTAGATGAGGTGACAACTTGGACAACACTTCTTCAATGTGAAATTGCAATACATGGCAGAATGATCCATCCACAGAATAAAGCAACTCTCAAAAGCTTGAAATCATAGTTTTGCTCAAAATATTCCTAAACATTGGAGTCTTTCCAATATTTCCCTGGTAGCATTGGGATAAGAATGGAAGTAGGGGAAGAGAGGCTGGGGAAGCAGTTTCTTTCTGCTTGAGTTCATTCTCTAAACAGGCCAACTTTTCAGCCTTGGTGGAAAAAAGAGCCCAAAATGTGGAGCCTTAGGTAACCACTTGCTCTCCCTGGTGGTAGTAGGTGGTTACACCTCTTCATTTCCCTTTCAGCTAAAGCTAGGGAGTAAGCGGTAAAACATGCTGCCAGTGAACTGCAGGATGATTCCTTAACGTTCTTATCACGCACCGGGTACTAGTTAGGGACACTAGTTAATCCCCACAAATAATTAAAAAGAGTCATTGAAGAAAGGGCTTGCCAAGCACAGATCATCCACCATACTTGGAACAAGAACTAAACCACCACTTAACTTATTGTAGCCTCCATCTCTCAACAACATAAAGTACCTTTTAAAATGTGACTCTTTTCACTTGTCAAAACTTTGAAATTAGCACGTGAAGAATGCAGTGACCCTCCTCTGGCTCTCCCCTGTACATGGATAAGATGCCCCACTCAGGATCTGGGTTGTTCTTCTTGAGGAACTCCAGTTAAGGAACGGATTCTGGGGTGACAGTCACCCAGTATGATGTGGAGAAAGGGGGAGTAGGCTTACAGAAAACCTGCTCTGCAAAATGTCATTACAAAACAACACAACAGTAGGTATTGGGGAACTGGGTCTATATCTGCAGATCTTAGCAAATAATTCTCAGAAATGATTGGAATGCAAGTTCTGTTTGTTCCCTTAAGTCCCACTCAGGTCTGTTCTTATTCCCCACATTTCTCAGCCCTCCTTCTAGCCATCCCCACTCTATTCTACAAAGGACCAGCACACAGACCCCTGAAGAAGATGAAGCAAGCAGGGAGCCTGCTAATACAGGCGGAGGAGCTCTTCCAGCCCCATGGCTGCCCAGGCAGTGCTCCTACCTGCGTTACACTCAGTGCTGCTTCCCTCTATAAAGTTGGACCCTTGAGGACAGGCACAGGTGTATCCTCTCGGCCTCAGGAGGCAGAGATGGCTGCAGACATTCTTACAGCGGTTGGGCACTGGAAAGCAGATGATAACAGTGGTTAGGTTCTGGAAGGGAATGAATACCCAAACCAAGGATATGTCCATCCACTGAGGTGTGGCCCTGCTGGGTGACATTTGAACCCAGGAAGCATCCCAACACCCTTAAATGACGTGACACTTGGCCACTCACCCTCATTTACACAACCATCCCCTGGCACCCCACCATTCCGTCTGTGTGCTCTCCATTCCACTTCTGTACCACTCATGTGCTATAGGAGAAGTCTCTAGATTTTCCTCTGCCTGATTCCTAGGTGGCCTTCTCTACAGCGGCCAGATGGGGGTTACCATGTACACTGTACTCTCTACTACTGTCTTTAAAAACAATCAAGTATAAGAGCCTCAGAAGCATTTAGGACATAAGAGCTGAAGGGTCCCCACCAGTAAGATGGCAAACTTCCGGCTTCTCTTCGGGGTCCTCAGTTCCCGCCAGCACCACCTGAAGCCCAATCACCTCTCGCCCCCCTCCCAATCCCAGCACCTAGCCAACAGCCACCAGCCCCGTAGAAGTGGCACCTCAATCAATTCATGCCCCCTCCTATATAACCCAGCACCTTTCCCTAATAAAACAGAACTCTCCGGTGAATTGCTGCTATGTGTCGCTCCTTTCCTTTCATTGGTGCCGAAACCCGGGAGACGGGACACCCCAACTGGGCCCCGTCTTCCCCCGACACCAGCAGCAGCTTGCCCTCGTCCTCTTTTTCCGGCGCTGGCTCATCACACTCACCACTCCTCTCTGGCCTTTAGGTAAGTTTTCCCCCCGGAGTGGGCCACTCTTCCCCGAGCTATCGCAGTGCCATTGACCGTGATCATCCGGCAAGGCCCTGACGCTCGGGGATGAGGAGGGAACTCTCCCCGCCTCAGGCCTTCACGGCTGCGGCGGACCCTCAGGCCCCTCCCCAAACAGCCATAAATCCCCGCCTCAAGCCTTTACGGCTGCGGCGGACGCTCAGGCCCCTCCTCCGACAGTCATAAATCCCCGCCTCAGGCCTTCACGGCTGCGGCCGACTCTCAGGCACCCCCCTCCAACAGCCATAAACGAGGTGACTCCTTTGTGGATGAGAACGCTCCCTTTTCCCCCCCTCCTCCTTCTGCTCCGTCCGCCGAAAACGCCTAGCGCTAGGTACCTCGTGACTCCGGCACTCTGCCTTCTTAGGGAAGTCTGGGTGACGACCCACACTTCCCAAGAAATTCCGACTCGTATACGAGTTTCCGCAGACCACCAAGGATCATCGGGGACGCCCTTTGTCTCCTTGTGGTCTGCTTCCAGTCCGAGGATCTCCGTTCGTCTTCCCCTGTTTGTCTCCTTCTCTGTCCTTTAGCCATGGGAGCCTCCTCATCCCTCCCTGAAAGTTCACCTCTTGAATGCCTGCTTAAGCATCTGGCTACCCTCTCCCTGACGCCTGATATAAAACCAAAACTTCTCCGTAAATATTGCTCCCAAGATTGGCCGACATACCCCCTAGACAATAACAACCAATGGCCCGCAGGGGGAACTCTTGATCCTAACATCACTCGCGATCTTTTTAACTACTGCCAGCGCCTGAAAAAATGGAAGGAGATTCCCTATATCGAAGCTTTCCGCCTCCTCCTCTCCCCGCCCCCTCCCAAGTTCTCCTAGCCTGCAAGCCGCCGCCCCCGCAGAAGCCTCCCGTTCACTCCCTTCCCCTTCTTCTCCTACAACAGCCCTTCTCCCTTCCTCCCCAACCATCTCCTCCCCCATCTCACCTCCTCCACCTTCATTCCCTGCAGATTAAGCCTGAGCCTTTCAGCCCCCCTTTAACTAGGTCCCAGGGGCCTCCTCCGTCTTTGCCCTCATCACCTGTTTCTCCCCTGTTAGGGACCGCCTTTGTCTTCTCACATGTTTGTAGAGAGAATGGGAAAGCACCTCCCCCCATGTCTGAACGCAGCATGGGAAAGCACAAGCTAGAGAACAACCGGTGCAGTCCTTAGAAGTTATCTGTCCACAAAAACATATCTTGCCAAGACTCCTCACTCTGAAAATAGGGAGACCTTGAAGATGTGTAGAAACACCGCCCCTGCTTCTAAATATGCCCTTCCCCCACTTGCAGATGTGGCAGGAATGGAGAACAAAGAACATTCTGTTTACGCATTCCATAAGCAATTAACTAGAGCCCTGCTGCAGCTCAGTTAGTAGAGCATGGGACTCTTAATTCAGAGTCATGAGTTCAAGCCCAACTAGAGCGGCAGAAGTAAGCAGCTGGGCTGCTAGCTGGTGACATGTGGGTCCGATTCTATCTTTCTTTATTTTCTTTGCCCCCCTTCTGCACTTCAGGACCTGCTCGACTAGGCACGGCTAGACCGCGTCACTCCCCCACAGACTGAGCCAGAACCCTTCAGTCCCCCTCAGACTCAGTCCCGAGAGCCTCCCAAAATTATCGCCCCCCTCCGGGAGGTAGCAGGATCCGAAGGCATCGTGCGCGTTCACGTCCCTTTCTCCTTAAGAGATTTAGCCTAACTAGAGAAACGCCTAAGTTCCTTTTCCACTGATCCCATGACATACATCAGGGAGTTTCAATAGACCCTCCAGTCTTACAGCCTCACACATCATGACATTTTCATGCTCCTGGCCAATACTCTCCTCCCTGAAGAGCGTAGACGAGTTTAGGACTTCGCCCAAATGCAGGCTACTGAAACCCACAGGACTGACCCCACCTATCCCCCTGGCCCCACTGCTGTCCCCGAACAAGACCCACACTGAAATTATAACACCGCCATGAGTCTCCGCTCTCGAGATATTTTTGCCTCCTGCTTAATAGCAGGTCTGAAAAAGGGCAGCTTGTAAAGTAGTCAATTTTCAAAAGCTCCAAGACATAATTCAAAAGAGAGATGAAATCCCCTCCGAGTTCTTAGACAGACTCACTCAAGCCCTATTACAGTATACCAGCCTGGACCCAGAAACACCTGAAGGAAGACATGTCCTTATGACATACTTCCTAGCTCAAGGCTACCCCGACATTAAAGCTAAACTCAAAAAGTTAGAACAGGGCCCCGCTACCCCACAGACTGAGATCCTAACAGTGGCCTTTAAAGTCTTCCATAAGCGGGAGGAGGAGAAAGAATGCCGTAAACAAAAGGCTGATCAGGCCAATTTCCAGATGTTGGCCCAGCTGATAAAACCACAACCTGGGCGCCCCTCTACAAACAAGCCCCCCCAAGAGCTTGTTTCAAGTGCAGAAAAGAGGGACATTGGTCAAGGGCGTGCCCCTCCCCCAGATCTCCTACCACCCCATGCCCCAGATGCCACAAAAAGGGCCACTGGGGGTCTGATTGCCCAACCACCCGAAGGGGAGGCTGGACGAACAACCCCCATCCTAAGCCCGCCGTAGTGGGGCTGGCAGAAGAAGATTGATGGGGCCCGGGGGCTTCTCGCCCGACCATTTCCATCACCAAACAGGAGCCCAGGGTTACTTTAACAGTAGACGGTCACCCCATCTCCTTCCTCCTAGATACAGGAGCCACCTTCTCAGTCTTGTGAGAATACCGGGGCCCTACCACGCCAGCCATTACTCCTATAGTCAGAGTAGGAGGTAAACAGATTTTCCCATTAAACCCCCCACCCACCCTTTTATGCACAATCCAAGACAATCCCATACCTTTCTCCCACTCCTTCCTGGTTATGCCCCAGTGTCCCATCCCTTTACTAGGACGAGACATCCTTTCCCTCCTCCACGTTTCCATAACTATATCCACTCCCACAGCCCCCAGTACTCCCTTTCTGATGGCCCTCATAGCCGACGACCCCCCTCTACCCAATGAAAGCTCCGGTTCTGCCCTCATACACCCTGTAAATCCCAAAGTTTGGGACATTACAAGCCCCTCCGTGGCCCTATGTCCCCCTGCCTCTATCAAATTATGTGACCCCTCTCAGTATATCTGTCAGGCCCAATACCCCCTAACCACTTCAGCCCTCATAGGCCTCCAACCCATCATTCAAGCAGACCCACTCACTCCCCATTTAATACCCCCATATTAGCTGTTAAAAAAACCAACGGATCTTTCCGCCTTGTCCAAGACCTTCGCCTCATCAACATAGCCATTGTCCCTATCCATCCCTTAGTTCCAAATCCATACAGCCTCAGCATCCCACTTCTCAGTCCTAGATCTCAAGGACCCATTTTTCTATCCCTCTAGACCCCTGCTCCCAAGATTTTTTCATCTTCACCTGGACGGACCCATACACAAGACATTCTGAACAACTCACTTGGACAGTTTTGCCACAAAGCTTCCGAGATAGTCCCCATATTTTTAGACAGGTCCTAGCTCAGGACCTCAAACAGTTTCATCATGATCACTCCAAGTCCACCTTATAATACATAGACAATCTTCTACTCTGCAGTCTCTCGTGGGAACAGTCTCAACTTGACACTGCCTCCCTACTTAACCTTCTAGCTTCCAGAAGTTACCGAGTATCCCCCGTCAAAGCTCAAATCTCTTCCCCTCCTGTCACTTACCTCAGATTCCTTCTATCTCAACAAAGAAAGTCCATTACCTTAGACAGAAAATAGCTCCTCTCTGACCTGCCCATTCCCAAAACCAAGACAGAAATCCTTTCCTTTCTAAGCCTAGCTAGATATTTTAGAGCATAGATCCCTAACTTCTCCCTGCTCCCTGTTGGCAAGACCCCTATACGACCTCAGCAAGAGCCCCCCTAAAAAACCATTATCCTCCTCACCCCGACACTCCTTCATTAAGCTCCGTCAAGCCCTTGTAGAAGCCCCAGCTCTCCATCTTCCTGATTTGTCGAAGCCCTTCTCATTATACATTCATGAGAGGTCCAGTCAAGCTCTAAGAGTCCTAGGCCAATATTATGGCCCATCCTTTGCCCCAGTAGCTTATCTCTCCAAGCAATTAGACCCCACAGTTCAGGGATGGGCCCCCTGCCTACGAGCATTAGCCGCTAGACAGCTCTTGCAGAAAGAAGCTCATAAACTGACATTCAGAGCGCCCCTTACCATTCTGTCCCCACATCACCTAAAAGATCTCTTAACCTACAAAAGTTTACAGACTCTCCCTCCCTCCAGACTCCTGACCTTACTGTCCTCTTTCCTCCAAAATCCCGTTCACCCCCTTTGCCATCCATACCCGAATCATGACTTTTTCCTCCTTTACTGCTCTCTCGCTTTTTTTCCTCATTCCTATTGTCTTCCCCACCACCCCAGCCTCCTTTGTATGGCGATTCAAAGTCAGACAGACTTACACACAGCATCAAACAAAAGTTACTGCCCTCATTGCCACACCAGACTGCCCTCTGAAAAGCTGCTCTGAGCCTTTATACCTCCACTTTCCTCCCTCCACTGAAGTGTTCACTAGCAGCTACCCTTATTCTCCCTACCTCTGCTTCCTCTATGACCAAAAACAAGCCTATTGCAGGCGATGGCCAGATACCTACAGGAGATGTCCCTACTAGTCTTGCACCATTCACTACATGAGTAACTTCCAGTACCCACAGTATTACTCCTCCAACCGTTTCATGAAATATCCCAATGGCTCATTCTCCTTATCAATCCCAGATCCCTGGGACTCTCGATGGGCTGCCAGAGTCACAGCCTCAGTTTACTACGGGGGGTCCTCGACCCCCCACAGTACCCTTCATATCTCTCGAAAGTATGTTCCCTCTCATTCCCAGATCTCTCAAGTTGCATCAGATAGCAGACATTCCGAAAAAGTCATTATCCAAACTCTTGATAGCGCCTCTTCATCTTCTTATCCCCACCCCTCTTCCCATTTCTCCTACTCTTCATTACAGCTCATTCAGGACACCACCATCTTTCTCAACCACACCCTTAACACAGCCAATTGTTTCTTGTGCGCATCACTACAGCGCCCACTGCTGGCCGCCGTGCCCCTTAATATTTCCAACTACTCCTTCCATGCAGAAAGACAACCCCTCTGCCCCCTGGCAGACATACCCCTATGGGAACCAGAATACGCAGATAATCTCACCATCCACCACTGTGTAGGCCCAACTCCACCCCCCTCCAGCGCACTTCACTGCCTCTCTATCTACACCCCTACCTCCGGCTCTAAGACTTTTACGCAACCGGGACACTTCTTTTAGTGTAATAGCAGTCTTTTCAACTCACTGCCTCTCAACTCCGATACACCCTGCATTCTCGTCACCCTAATCCCACAGTTTACACTTTACAGCATGGCAGAATTTCTTGAGCTCCAACCTCCCTTGCCCTCGCGCACAAAAAGAGCTGCTTTCCTTCCCATCATGGTCAGTAGCTCTTTGATCACCTCAGCCATTGGGGCAGGGTTTTCGGGAGAAGCCTTGGGTCACTCTCTATGGGCAGTTAGAGATCTCAACGCCAAACTTGAGGGAGCCCTGACATCCACTGCCGATTCCCTAGCCTCTCTCCAAAGACAGGTCACTTCGCTAGCTAAAGTCACCCTTCAAAACCGGCGGGCCCTAGATCTGCTTACAGCCGAGAAGGGCGGCACCTGCGTCTTCCTCCGGGAAGAGTGCTGCTATTACATCAACGAATCCGGCATTGTAGAAACTGACATCACCAAACTCACCGACCTTGCCTCCAGCCTCCACTCTGCTTCCAATTCCAACCCATTCTCTTCAATACTAACAAACCCCCTCCTCACCTGGCTCTGGCCCATTGCAGGCCCCATAATAATCATTCTTCTCGCCTGTCTCTTCTTACCCTGTATAATAAAGTTCATCAAATCCCAAGTCGGAAAAATCTCTAATCAAGCTTTCAACCAGCTTTTACTCAGGAACTACCAGCTTCTGGCCACAGAAGATCCCTCACCCTCACGTGACCTCCTCACCACACGCTGAGATGGACCCCTCTCTCCACTGGAAACTGTTCCTGGAAACAATAGCCGCAGACGCCTGGCTCCTGACACCCATATCCTCTTGGCCAACCTATGGTTACAGGGAACCTTCATTGATTTCCAAACCTGAAGAAGTCCACATCTACTCGTCCTTACTGCGGGGAGTCCTATCAACCCTTTCCTCCCAATCCTCAAGCCCTCACTCCCTTCTCCGCCCCTGTTCAGCAGGAAGCAGCCAGAGAGAAAGCAACGTCCACAAACCCATGGAGGAGAAAGGGGGGAATGAAGGGTCCCCACCAGTAAGATGGCAAACTTCCGGCTTCTCTTCGGGGTCCTCAGTTCCCGCCAGCGCCACCTGAAGCCCAATCACCTCTCGCTCCCCTCCCAATCCCAGCACCTAGCCAACAGCCACCAGCCCCGTAGAAGTGACACCTCAATCAATTCATGCCCCCTCCTATATAACCCAGCACCTTTCCCTAATAAAGCAGAACTCTCCGGTGAATTGCTGCTATGTGTCGCTCCTTTCCTTTCAAGAGCTATTATATGACAGGGGTCTGGAATGTTCTGGAGAGGGCCTGGAGAATGACAATCATTACCAGCTACAAGGGAACTAGTCCCTAGAAAAGGCACTTGCTGCCAGTGTAATCTCCTGGGTGTTTCACTCTGAGTTCCAATTCACCAAGGCTGATTCAGGGTCTCAGAGAATCAGTGGGCTTGAGGGGACTCAGTGAACTCAGGCTCCACCTTTGCTCACATACAGGGATGGGAAGGGATGGAGTTTGTCAAAGGCCACTTAGCCACAGAATTCAACCTGGATCTAGGGATAGTGACCATTGGGCCAGAACAGAAAGACACTGAATGGAACTGAATTTAAAAATCACTTCTATGTTTAAAACTCACCTGCCAGTTATGTGACTTGGGCTAAATGAGTGGTTAAATCGCTCCTGCCCTCAGTTACCTTACATGTGAGATGAGAATAAAATTTCTTTCTACAGTTTTGAAGGTTAATTCAAGTAACAGATGTCTGGGTTAACACTGAAGAGAGAATCTGACAAATAGAACTTAATAAAAACCATTTCTTTTCCTCAGTTAAAATTTTCCCTTCCCTTTAACCTTATGTCACATGATGGGAAGGATGAATTAGAACATAGGTAACCTGATGAAGTAGGACCCAAAACTAAGAAAGTAAGAACGAGGGGAGGAGGTAGAAATACATATGACTGACAACTTTAAACCAAGGTTCATGTAGCTCAGCATAACTTGACTAGCCTGGTGTTGGAATTTAAAGAATGTAAGACTTAAGATGTCCACAAAGCCCATTTTGTGACTTGTTAAACCAACTCACACTTAGGGGTCTGATGCCTGCCAGATTCTGTGGCCTAGAAGTACATACTCACAACTCCAAACAGTGAAAACTGAACTATTTTTACTTCATATCTGTTAGTCCTGTGCATTTTATTTGACCTCCAATTTTATCTTTCTTTGGTCACAATGATTAAAACACACACACACACACACACACACACACACACACACACACACACACACACAGACACCTTTCATACACTAAGAGATCAGCCTATTACAATCCACTACCATTTTCCAACAATATAGCCATTAATTTTAAATAAGGATTCCAAATAATAAGGATCATCTTATTCCAAGGTTGGTGATTACCTGATCGATCATATCTATGTTGATGAAAGATTCGAGCTTGAGTGAGCCAAGGATTCACTACCAGCATTTTCTCTTTCTCCTCTTGTCCAAATTTATCTTGCTTCCATATTTCTCCCTTATCTTTAGATATCCAGTATAACAAGCCTTCAAAGATGTCCAGACTATAAGGGCTCATTGCTGCTCACCCACAGGGAAAGAGCAAAACAAAACAAGGTTATTGAAAAGAAAATACCCCAACTGCACTTGTATGTTAGAGGTCATTCTGCTTGAATTAATCCCTAGTAAAATGCCTTGAAATTCCAGGAACATTCAGGCAGACTTTCTGTTCATGTGACCGTGAAAGTGTGCTATTCTGGGAAATCAAGATGACAGAAATTAAACTAGATTAATGCATACTGGCTACCACCAGTTACAGGGGACTTGCTTACTTTCAAGCTGCTGATTTTATTTCAGTTTTGGAAAACAATGTGAATGGCAGAGGTTTTATTTTTTTCCTTGAACATAAAACACCTCATATGTGCTGGATTGCTGGGGTTCTGCAGAATCTGGTTAAGACAATACAATGCTTCTCTCCTTCTAGATGTTTCCAACTGTGCATAATAAACAGTCTAGCACATTAAAAACTAATGTGCCTAGAAGTGGTTAGACATGGGTCATCATTGGTACACATGAATGTGCACCTCTATTAGGGCAACCTAACAGGAAACTTGGTTATTTCAGTATCTCCTCCTAAGAGTACTTTTTCTAAATTAAGTAGAAAGGACACACAGGACTTAACTATTGCTAATGGTTCATTTGCATTTAAATCAGCAGCTGCACTTGGGGGAGTGGTAACTAAAAAGCTATATAAACCATTTCCTGAGATCAGAGTTCCTTTTTCTGAAAATGGGCAAAAGGCTGGCAACGTATTATTTAATTATTAAATTCTAACTCATTTCTAACCTGCGTTTGCAACAATTCTCCTATCACTCCCATCATATTTTATGGTCTCAATAACGTTCTCCTTGTAGTCACTCCAGTACACTCGGTCATCGTTCAAATAATCAATAGAAAGGCTGGTTGGCCAACCAAGATCCTCATTAGCCAGGATGTTCCGATGCTGTCCATCCATCCAGGCAGACTCGATTTTAGGTTCTTTACCCCAGTCAGTCCAGTACATAAGCCTGTAACAGAAGGTTTCCTCATTATAAACATTAAATGTAGTGAGGCCTCTCCGCTAACATGGAGCACGGACTTCCAACAGGGAAATCAGCTGTTTCTCATAGGGGTCTGGATGCGGAGTGGTGCAGTTCTTACACTTCACTGCAGAAGACAGGGAGAGGAAAAGCAGAGCTGGTGCATCTGTGGTCTATCCTTCTGAAAACTGTACTTCCTCAGTAAAAATTGGCCAGCCCTAGTGGAGGATATACATTCAGACCCTTTAAAATATATAATTACAAAACTGTTCATTCTTCAAAAACTATTTATTGAATGTCTAATGTGTGAGCAGCACTACTCTGTTTACGATGTATCAGAAAAAACAAGGATTACTATTCTCTAGGAGCTTACATTGTAGCTCTTTTAAAATGGATTATTTTGCATCCAATTAAGTTGTAGAAAAATTGTGCAGACCTGGGATTGCACCACTTCAAATACCCAGAAAAGACCAAGCAGGCAAGATAAATGAGGGCGCAGAGCAACCAGAAACATCAGGTAATGGGGAAAGCAAGGCCCTATGTAAAATCTCCAGGGAATACTGAACCAAGGAAAGTGTATCTACCTAGTCAAACCAAAAATACAGATTTTGTTTTGAATGTTGTGGGTAAAACTGTAAGATTTCCAGAATATCTCGCCTGGCTTTAGTATATCTGCATATCAATAGGCGTTCAGAGGTGGAAAGCAGTACGGCTTTAGTTCATTTGCATCTTTCCTCAGGGGTGGAGAAGTTCATCTCCATATCAATGGGTGATTACCTGGGCAACAGAGGGCTATGTGTACCTGAGAGGTGAGGGGAGGGCCGGTGTGGTTGCTGCTTGAGCAGAGAAGAAAGATGGCCTGGGACTGCAGTTTGTGAGCAATAAACAGGTTTTAAATTTTATTTCTCCCTTTGACTGATTTTGGCTTTTAGAGGTATTTTGCCCCGGGATTACCTTTCCCTGGACTTACGAATGTGAAATATTAGCAACTAAGTAAAAATATCTTAACATTGTGTAATTCAAATCAAATATGTCTATGGGTCATATTCAGCCCATTAGCCATTATTTTGCAGCCTCCATTCTAAACTAATCAGGTATTGACCAAATATGAAATTCTATTGAGGAATGTGTAAATTTTAGACAAACTATGCTCTGGAAAAAAAATGTAGCCAGAGGCCTCCAGCCTGAAGCCTGTTTGGGCCTAAATGATCGGTGGGGTGTATTACATTTCTTGAAAAAAGTCATAGGTGCCCACCAAAAAGACCAAGGGCCTGGTCAGCACAATCAGGACAAATAACTAAAGGTGTAAGTTTTTGAAAATCCAGTGGAAAATATCTAGAATATTAAAGACTCTTTCAATACTTACCCTAGTTTGGGATTCACAACCACTGCAGCTGGTTGACCCAGTTGGGTGGAAATGAGCCACTTTCTGTACCTTCCATCAAGTTCAGCCACCTCTATCCGCTGACTCTTAGCGTCCGACCAGTAAATATGCCTGAATTTAGAGTTACAAAGTTAAACAACAGAAAAATCTATACTGGTCACTTCTTGGGAAGAGGTTTGAAGATGACTAGAAGTTCTGGCCAGTGAGACAGCTACACAGACATGGTGATTAAAGCAGTCTCCTCTCTTGAGGATGTCCCCATCTCTTCAGTCAACAAGACATCTTTGGAAGGTTACAAGTGGAAGAGTGAGGGATGGAGGGGACTCCTGCCTGATCTGCCAAAAAAGCTGAAGCAGCTAGGATCAGTAGTGATGGTGGGCCTGCCACTGACATTATCATGAGAATGTACTTCCAGGAAAAGTGGTGAGGTGCTGTGAGTCTGTGTCCTCCTCGGCCAGGAGCCCCACTGGCATCAGCTCCAAGGATGAGTGGAAATAGCCTTTTAAAACAAACTCAGCAAGGCCATCCTGCCTTTATTCCATTCCTAAGGCTGCAGGAGAAAGAGTTCTATCAGTTTCTAAGTTCACTCAATCATTAAGGCTGAAAAAGAGGCAAAACTTCAAGTAAGACAGATCTGTCACTGCACACTTATTTTAAGAAAGAAGTGCCAAAGTCTAAAGCTGCAAGTTTCTGACTTTTTGTGGCCTTGTTTCCTGACAGAAAATAGTGATATGAATTTCCTGTTAGCCTGCGGGCAAAGTGGGGACCTAATTATCTTCTTCAGAGATGCTCAAGTCTTCCAGGAGCATTAGGCAAATTTGTTAAAAGGTGGGCATTAATTTATACTGCAAATGACTCTCTGCTCTCCCAGAAGGCAGCAAGACCTTGAGCCTTCCCTCTCAAACATTTTCCCATTATTAGTTCATTTTCAAGGACATAAGGGATGCTAGGAATGCTTGAGCTCTGATTCTAATGTAATCACTTTCCCATAAATGTCACTCCAATGCAAGGCTGTCCCTTGAAGGAGCTTACCAATTTTTCCACATCAGTTTGCATCTCATGCATCTATCTACCTGTCGCGACCCTTCAGGAACCAAAGCAACACATCCAAGGTCTTGATTCTTCTCTAGGCTTTATTGTTTAATCTCTCACGGCGGTTACAGCAGTTGTCGGGAAGCTCCTCTCTTTCCCGGCGGGCTCCCTTATATTCAGTCACTCAACCAATCCGGGACAGTATCATGTGTGACCTTTAAGTGGATAGGTGTCACGCGCCACTCTAAGCGGGCAGCACGAGCTGTGCACGGGTACGGAAGTCTGCTGGGCCAATCCCCAACAGGGAAGAGGGGAAAGGGTGGTGAGCAGGAAGCAGGCGCCATCTTTAGGGCATTGTCCAGCTAGAATGGGGCTCAGCCTCGGCCACAGGCCAGGCCCCCACATCTACCTAATGATAAAACTACTTAAGATTCATAGTTAGGGTTCATCCAAACTATCTGGCTCTGTTCCCTGGGATTCTAGAAGGTCTAAAAGAACAGAACAGAGCCAACACTTCAATTAACTTCAAACCCAAAGATTAAACGGGTTAGTCAAATTTCCTATCTGTTCAGACAACATAGCCTGCTAGAATCACAAGATGTGTATTTTTCATCCCCAAAATAATTATCACAGAGAAAAACATTTCACCTGAAGTGCTTCACTGGTAGAACTGTAAGTCTGTTTCAATTCTTCACAAAATAAACAATGCTGCCATACCAAAAGTTAATTTTGGAATGCACCACACTCTCCTAGGTAAAATGTAAAATCTTGACCTTGGTGCCTCCCCAAACCTTTTCATAGAACATAGCAAATGATATTTATATGACACACTGGGATAAGCAGAGTGATTGCTGGGGCTACAACAAGCCCAGGCGTCACCCAGCTAGCTGCACACCACTGAGTGTGCCCAGACGTAGACCAGCTGAGGTCATGTGCCACGGTGAGCAGCAGGGAGCTCTGGCCAAGGGACAAAACAAGCATGAGGGCCTTGTGGCTGGACTCACCTTCCGACCCAGTCAACTGCTAACCCATCTGGCTGAATTAGGTCTTTCAGGCCTAGGTTAACTTCTACCACGCGATTATTGCTGCCAGATTCAAAGTTGGGAATGTAGGCACGTTTGATAGCACCAAAATTAGAGCCATGCCCTAGCACAGAGTAATATATGACACCTACAGAGGAAAGAAGCACAAGTCAGTTTCACATGAATAACCAGTAAGGGAGGAACTAGGGACTAACAGCTGAAGTGCTGTTCATGAATTGACATCTCTATGCCCTCATTGTTCCTATAGTACTAATAATCCAGCTACACCAGTATGATCAAACTGTAAAACCTATCATATTTGAGCTATTAGCTACAAATGCTTCAATTGGTAAGATTCTATTAGAAGGCAACTAACTAAAATATATTTTAGCCGAGAGTCTATTTACTCTCATTAGGATCAAATTCTAGTTTCCAAAAACAGAATGTTGAGAATTTGAAATCATACTCAGTAACAGTGGAACTGAAGGAGCCATGTACATGAGAAGTTCTATTTTATGTATAAAATAAAGGATAGTAGAAGGCAAGCAATTTAAAAAGCATAGGAAGACTGTGAGTTTTAAGGCATACACTTTCCTAAGTTTATACTATAAAAAGCTTAACTAAGTGTGAAACACAATAATAAATCTTACACTGCATAGTTACTGATTTTTTGCAAAGCAAAGTTTGAAAGTTTGCAAAGCATTTTCATATTTATTATCTCATTTGACCTTGAGAACAACTCTCAGAAGTAGACAGATAGAATGAGATTACTGCACTTATCTTACAGATAAGAAATGGAGATACAGAGAATTGTTTGAATTATCTAAGGTCATTAAGCTAGTAGATGAGGGAGATAGGCATAGAAGAAAAGTTTCTGACTCTTGCCTCATTACCATTTCCCACACACCATGCAATGAGAGACTCAACAATAAGCGTTATTCACTTTTCATTCATTGAACTAAATGTCTTGAGCACCCACCATATACACTGTACTAGATGTTGGGTCAAGTGAAAGGCATATAAACATGAATTAGATTCAATCTCTGGTTCCCAAGGACACATGGTTAAGGGGTAGAGAGAAAATATGTGGATGACTAGCTATAACACAGAGAAACATGTGCTTTAACAAAAGCATATGTAAAATGCTACAGGCTCATGGGTGAGCAATCACAGAAACGTGCAGGTGGGTTATAGAAGGTGTCACAGAGGGGGTGACATTTGAACCAGGTCTTTGAAATTGGAGCAGAAAATTTCCAAGTGTACAATGGTAGCGAAAAACAGTCTCTGCACCAGCAAAGACAAGACAATATTAAACAACAGGATGTGAGGTGGTCCAGACAGGATAACCCGGAGACAGGAGTCAGGAGAGGTTGGGGGGTACCCAGGGCCACATGAAGGTGTCTAGAGCACACTGGCTAAAAGAAGCTTCCTCTTCCTCTCATGCAACAGTATTCACTCATTAAAAAATCAATTCCCCAAAATTCAACACCTTATAATTCAATTCATATCAATGACAGATGCCAAAGTTCATACTCACTGAGGCCTGTGCCCTCGGGATCCCAATCATAATCAACAGCCTGAATGTGTTCCTTGTTGTCAAGGTAATCTGAGAACTTCTCAGATGAGAGATTGTATTTTTGAATTCGCACATTTTCTGGCAGTAACAACACAGGAGGGTTACCTGTAAACAAATGAAGGGCTTCTTTATCTGTTTGACTTCTACTTGAAATTTTTTGTATATATAATAGGATATAAAATAGTAGGCATCCTCTCCCCTTTAAAAAAAAGATGAGTTTTTATAGAAATCTGACCATCTCTGCTAATCAATACAGCTGACTAGCCCACTGGGTTGTAAAATCTGTGACTGTGGACATTCTTGTCTCCATTGCAGGTAGAAGCTAACATTTCTCTTAGAGATATTATTAGTTCTTTATTCTTTGTCCTCAGTGTGTGATGGTTTAGAGCAAGGCAAGACTGAGGCCCCTAGGTAGCATCCTCTGTTCCACTGATTTTTTTTGCTTTCTTTACTGATAAGAAAGATTCTTTTCGTTATTCACAGACAAGATTGTAGACATTCAGTCAGTATCACAGAAGAAATACAATAGATACAGTCTTACTAAGTTTACCAGGGAGTCCTCATTCCTCACTCTTTACTGACAGACCTTATGATTTTTTTAAGCCGGTAATCAGTTCCATGACCCAATTTAGCTTGTAGCTAATGATAAAAAAGATGTTCTTGGTTTAAAAAAAATTTATTTTTTTTACCTAAAGCAGCCATTTCAATGGTGACTCATCCCAAGATGCACTGTCCAGATTTTTTAAAAATGTAATTGACTTGCATGTCAAATACAACTTCAGTAACTTCAGAAAATTCATCTCATACATTTCCTCTATCTTGACTTTGTTTTATATAACTATTCAAATTAATTTGTTACCTCCTTAGTTAAAAAATTTTATTATTTTTAGTTTGCTGCTTAATTACCAGACCAATTGTTCAAATGCCTTTGTCCTAGTTTTCATTCAGTGTCAAAAATGTTTAAAGGTTAAAATATTTAAGTATACTAGGCAAATGTATGACTTACAAGCCCAATTTGTATGAAGAAATTAAACAGCCATTTTTACCCTTAGTTTGCAAAATAAAATGACATTTTCTTATCAAGTTCCTTATCAATTCTCATGCAAACTTCAAATTCAAATCTGCAAGACTGTAAAGACCTAAATCCCTTACCTGGGATATGCTGATTAAGATCAGATCTCTGGAAATTTAGACTGTCATACTTTTGACTTACAGTCTCTCTCTTTTGTCATTTTTATCTAGTACTAACTATTGTTCTCTATCAAGCCTGATTTTCAGAATACTGAAACTTAACTTGAAGTGTAGAACTAATGACTGAAGTTCTGAATGAGCCAGATTCTTTCTGTGATCAGTAGTACATGATTAATAAAAAAAGGATTTTGTCAACAGTAGTATACTTGATTTTCCCCCAAGTGAATGTGACTGTTTTCTGTGACCCATCTTGGATTACAGAGCCTCAAACCTTAATCTCAGTGGAGTGGGAGCTGAAGAGCCTCCTTAATTTCCTTCAGTTGAACACCACCCTACAAGCAAGCTTTTTGTCTGAATCTTCTGGAAGGTGATTGATAGCTTGCCCATTTTTTGAAGTTTTTATCAAGGAAGACAAGAAGCTAAATCCATAATAATAAGTAACACTCAACTCATGTTTTATTTCCTATGTATTTGTTGGAGGATTGTAGTTGTTTTAATCTGGCAGGGGAGGAAAGAGAAGACTGGATGGGTTTTGGAAGGCAAGTAGCTGGTGAATTTAAGTATAGGACTCCGAAAGTCTAATGTTTATTTTCTGGCACATTGTACTTCATCAGCATCTATTTCTCCAGGAGTCGATCAATCAGGACATGAGTCCATGTACCTTCAGCGGCACACCGTTCTCCATAGCGCTCACTCAAAGACCTGAAGCCTTCAGCACACAGACACTCATAACTTCCTTTGGTATTTAGGCAGTTTTGGGGACAAACCCCAAATTGTTCACATTCGTTGATGTCTGCAAACAAGACAAAACCAAATATGCATCATCTGCTCCCACTCATTCCTTAGAGACCCTGATTCTGTTTAAATCCATGTTCACAAGCAATGAGAACTGAGAAGAATGAAGATGAAAATAAGCAACACCATCAACGTTGGTGGGATGCTCACTAAGTTCCAAATGTGGTTTCACATGATTTTCATGCTTTTTCCCTCATTTAATCTTCCAAAATGACTCCATGAAATATGGACTATATAAACCTAAAGTCCCAAAGCTAGTAAGCAATGAAAACAAGGTCTGAACCAAAGCAGCTGGACTCTACACAAGAGCAGAACAACAGCACCTTTCCAGAAACAGCTGCTGTATTCCCTTCCACTAACTAGCTGCAGGGATGGGAGTCATTCATTTGGCTTTTCAATGGCTTCGTAAGCTTCAGTTTCCAAAAGAAACGGTTCAGATCATCTGAGTATGGCACATAATGAGTTAGAAATAGTAAATTCAAACAATAAAAGGCATTTAAAGTCGTACTCATCATTTACCATCTTGATAAGCTACCTTCCAACTCGATACCTAAGAACGCATTAATGTCCAGCATACGTAGTTGTGTAATAATAATAATAAATTTGACTCAAGATGCAAAAAGTAAGACTTGTGTTTGTTAAAAAAAAAAAAAATCTCACACACTGACGCAATAACCAGACATCATAAATTATATCAACTCCACAGACATTACTGAGGATGAGCTATCTGCCAGCAATCTGTTGGGTACTGGTAGGATAATATGAAAAAAAGGAACTGCCATCCTTGATTTTTTTTTCAAGACCCAAAAATTAATGAAGAAAATAGATCTTATCATACATCATCATTGGTTTTACATATCATGAATGTTCAGCTTACAACCTCATTCAGAGGTGATCACTACCCTCTAACAGTAAAATCATGTGTGCACCTCAGCATTCTAATGAGCTAGAACCATGACATTAATCCCACAAGGGGAACTTAACAGTGGTTTAGTAAAAGGGAATGAGTAGATAACCCAAAGGTTACAAGTTTTTCCTAGTAGGACATGGAGGAAATATACTCAACCATCACAGGAGTTTCTGTCATAAATATTGGCTTTGAACCCAGGTCTACAGGAGCAGATAAATCCTCCTTCACTTAATTGGGTACAGTTTTGTTCACAGAGATTCTCAGCACACGATCTTCCTTTTCCTGTATCTGAGAAACAAAATCTCAGCATTACAAATGAAACATATAAATGAGATAAACCACAAATGAACAAAGCTTGAAAAGGCTACCCATAACAACTATAGGACATCTTGAGATGGACCTTTTCCATAAATCTTGTAGAAGATCAGAGGCCTCTTTATTTGGGTATCTGGTAATAGCCTGAATGCCATTTACACAAATGTATGTAATGTTATGTTAGATCCTTGAGGCAATTTTCCCATCATACTCAGCACTGCCAGGTGCATCTTCAGAGCATCCAGTGATGGACTCCAGAGCTATGCAGTCAGGGGCTCTTTACTTTGTCACCATCTGCTCCACTATACTTAATCCTAATATATATATATATATATATGATATATTATATATGTATATCATATATATTTGTAATATATATATATAACTATTCACTACATGTAAGAATTAAAAATATATATAATATACAATCCTACTATATGTGTAATAAAGGACACTGATACAGATCAGAATGAAGTAAAAAATAGGAAGAAATTATGAAGTTATAAGAAGAATATAATTTGCCTAATATTGAGAAATATATACACAAATATGTCAAGTGTTGTCCAGGGTGCAGCAAAATGAATGCAGTTGTAAGTCATACAACTGCTTAGAACCAATAATTTTATCCTTCAGTTTTTGCTTTGTTCTTATACTCTACAGATGAGTGAAATCATTTGATACTTGTCTATCTCTGCCTGGCTTATTTCACTGAGCATAATAATACCCTCTAGCTCCATCCACGTTGTTGCAAATGGTAGGATTTGTTTTCTTCTTATGGCTGAATAATAGTTCCATTGTGTATATGTACCACATCTTCGGTATCCATTCATGTACTGATGGACACTTAGGTTGCTTCCATTTCTTGGCTATTGTAAATAGTACTGTGATAAACATAGGGGTGCATATATCTTTTTGAAACTCGGCTCCCGCATTCTTAGGGTAAATTCTTAGGAGTGGAATTCCTGGGTCAAATGGTATTTCTATTTTGAGTTTTTTGAGGAACCGCCATACTGCTTTCCACAATAGTTGAACTAGTTTACATTCCCACCAGCAGTGTAGGAGGGTTCTTTCCCTTTCTCCACATCTTCGCCAGCATTTGTTGTTCCTATTCTTTTGGATGTTGGCCATCGTAACTGGTGTGAGGTGATATCTCATTGTGGTTTTAATTTGCATTTCTCTGATAATTGGCTAGGTGGACCATCTTTCATGTGCCTGTTAACAATATGAATTTCTTCTTTGAAGAACTGACTGGTCAGCTCCTCTGCCCATTTTTTAATTGGATTATTTGCGTTTTGCTTGTTGAGGTGCATGAGCTCTTTATATAATTTGGATGTCAACCCCTTATTGGATATGTCATTTATGAATATATTCTCCCATACTGTAGGATGTCTTTTTGTTCTACTGATGGTGTCCTTTGCTGTACAGAAGCTTTTAAGTTTGATATAGTCCCACTTGTTCATTTTTGCTTTTGTTTCCCTTGCCCGGGAGATATGTTCATGAAGAAGTTGCTTATGTTTATGTACAGGAGATTTCTGCCTATGTTTTTTTCCAAGAATTTTATGGTTTCATTACTTATGTTCAGGTCTTTGATCCATTTTGAGTTTACTTTTGTGTATGGGGTTAGACAATAATCCAGTTTCTTTCTCTTACATGTAGCTGTCCAGTTTTGCTAACACCAGCTGTTGAAGAGGCTGTCATTTCCCCATTGTATATCCATGGCTCCTTTATCATATATTAATTGACCACATATGCTTGCATTTATATCTGGCCTCTCTATTCTGTTCCACTGGTCTGTGGGTCTGTTCTTGTGCCAGTACCAAATTGTCTCGATTACTGTGGCTTTACAGGAGAGCTTGACGTCAAGGAACATAATTCCCCCCCACTTTATTCTTCCTTCTCAGGATTGCTTTGGCTATTCGGGGATTTTTTGTCACTCCATATGATTTTTAGAACTATTTGCTCTAGTTCACTGAAGAATGTTGGTATTTTCATAGGCATTGCATTGAATCTGTAGATTGCTTTATGCAGGATGGCCATTTTGACAATATTAATTCTTCCTAGCCAAGAGCATGGGATGAATTTCCATTTATTAGTGTCCTCTTTAATTTCTCTTAAGAGTATCTTGTAGTTTTCAGGGCATAGGTCTTTTCACTTCCTTGGTTAGGTTTATTCCTAGGTATTTTATTCTTTTTGATGCAACTGTGAATGGCATTGGTTTCCTGATTTCTCTTTCTGTTAGTTCATCATTAGTGTATAGGAATGCAACAGATTTCTGTGTATTCATTTTGTATCCTGCAATTTTGCTGAATTCAGATATTAGATCTAGTAGTTTTGGAGTGGATTTTTTAGGGTTTTTTATGTACAATATCATGTCATCTGCAAATAGGTACAGTTTAACTCTTTCCTTGCCAATCTGGATGCCTTTTATTTCTTTGTGTTGTCTCATTACCATGGCTCAGATCTCCAGAACTATGTTGAATAAAAGTGGGGAGAGTGGACATCCTTGTCTTGTTCCCGATATTAAGGGAAAAGCTTTCAACTTCTCGCTGTTCAGTATGATGTTGTCTGTGGGTTTATCATATATGGCCTTTACTAGCTTGAGGTACTTGCCCTCCATACCCATATTGTTGAGAGTTTTTATCATGAATGGATGTTGAATTTTGTCGAATGCTTTTTCAGCATCTGTGGTGATGATCATGTGGTTTTTTCCCTTCCTTTTGTTGATATAGTGGATGATGTTGATGGATTTTCAAATGTTGTACTATCCTTGCATCCCTGGGATGAATCACACTTGATCATGATGGATGATCTTTTTGACTTTTTAAAAAAATTTGGTTTCCTAATATTTCATTGAGTATTTTTGCATCTATGTTCATCAGATATATTGGCCTATAATTTTCTTTTTTTTGTAGTGTCTTTGCCTGGTTTTGGTATTAGAGTGATGCCCGCCTCATAGAATGAGTTTGGGAGTATTCCCTCCTCTACTTTTAGAATACTTTAAGGAGAATGGGTATTAGGTCTTCACTAGATGTTTGATAAAATTCAGCAGTGAAACCATCTGGTCCAGGGATTTTTTTTTAGGTAATTTTTTTATTACCAATTCAATTTCATTGCTGGTAATTGGTCTATTTAGACTTTCTGTTTCTTCCTGGGTCAGCCTTGGAAAGTTGTATTTTTCTAGAAAGTTGTCCATTTCTTCTAGGTTATTCAGTTTGTTAGCATATAAATTTTCATAGTGTTCTCTCATAATTTTTTGTATTTCTGTGGTGTCCATAGTGATTTTTACCTTCTCATTTCTGATTCTGTTTATGTGTGTAGACTCTCTTATTTTCTTGATAAGTCTGGCTGGGGGTTTATCTGTTTTGCTTATTTTCTTGAAGAACCAGCTCCTGCTTTCATTGATTCTTTCTACTGTTTTATTCTTCTCAATTTTATTTATTTATGCTCTAATCTTTATTATGTCCCTCCTTCTGCTGACTTTGGGCCTCATTTGTTCTTCTTTTTCCAGTTTCAATAATTGTGAATTTAGACTATTCATTTAGGATTGTTCTTCCTTCCTGAGGTAGGCCTATATTGGAATATATTTGCCTCTTAGCATGGCCTTCGCTGTGTCCCACAGATTTTTGTGTTGTTGAATTATTGTTGTCATTTGTCTCTGTCTATTGCTTGATCTCTGTTTTTATTTTGTCATTGATCCATTGATTATTTAGGAGCATGTTATTAAGTGTCCATGTATTTGTGGGCTTTTTCATTTTCTTTGTGTAATTTAGTTCTAGTTTCATACTTTTGTGATCTGAGAAGCTGGTTAGTACAATTTCAATCTTTCTGAGGTTCTTTTTGTGGCCCAGTATATGATCTATTCTTGAAATGTTCCATGTGCACTTGAGAATAATGTTTATCCTGTTGCTTTTGGATGGAGTGTGTTCTGTAGATGTCTGTTAGGTCCATCTGTTCTCATCTGTTGTTCAGTGCTTCTGTCTCTTTACCTATTTTCTGTCTGGTTGATCTGTCCTTTGGAGTGAGTGGTGTGTTGAAGTCTCCTAAAATGAATGCATTGCATTCTATTTCCCCATTTAATTCTGTTACCATTTGTTTCACATATGTAGGTGATCCTGTGTTGGGTGCATAGATATTTATAATAGTTATATCCTCTGGTTGGACTGACCCTTTTATCATTATGTATGTGTTTTTCTTTTTAATATTTAATCAAGTCACTTCATTATGTAAAAAAAAAATTCAAGCCCCATGGGGAAATTATGTTAAATAAAGGCCAAATCAACTCATCATAGGTGGTTATTCATTCTCCTTTGTACCCCACAGAAGACAAAAGTTGCCAGGAAATCCTTGGATGACACAGAAAAAAATCAATTAAAGCCCTAGAACTTGAAGACACAGAGAGCTCACCAGGAAGACTAAGCCATAGACTCCTGGAGTTTGGAGAACTTTTTTTTCCTATGAAGAAACCAAGGCCCAGAGAGATCAGCACGTGCCCAAAAGTCAGAGAAACTAGAGGCCAGCTCTCCTGGTCAGCAGTCCCAGGACTGTTCACACTCTGGCTCTGCTATTCTGTGTGACCTCAAGCAAATCACTTAAGTGATCTGAGCTTTATTATACAGATGGATTTACTAACAACAATAACAGCAATAATGGGCTAACTTAGTGACAGATACTGTATGTAAAAGTATTTCAAAACAGCTATAAAGGACTACAAAGGTGTGAATTATTAATATTTCATTCCAACGTTTTCATTACAGTATAGAGCTAGAACCATGCCTTCATTGTGTTCATCATCCTGTTCCTACAAAAATCCCTCCAACTACTTTAAAAGTAAAAATAAAGGTTGCTTCCAAGATCCTCTGTGACATTCCCATCTTTATCAGCTACCCTTAGAAGCTTTTCCTCTAAATGCCAAGGATATCGCTTTTGGTTTATGCTGAAAAAAATGGGAAGACTAATAAACAAAGTATGTAGCTTTAAGGTGCTAACAAGCACCTAGTGAACTGGGAGCAGGATGTGCTCTGAAGTTAGGTAGATCCAGAGTTCAAATCCTAACTCAAACTCATAATGGCAGGAAGACGTGGCCAATTTACTTACCCTATAAGCCAATTTCCTCATTTTAAAAGAGAGGAGAGATTGAGAGAGGCAGAATAATACCTAACTCATAAGATTGTTACAAAGAGGAAATGAGATAGAAGCCCCATGGGGTATTGAGCACAGTGTCTGGTTAGTGCTCAGTAACAGGTAGCTACAGGTTTGTCTGTAGTTCAGAGCAAGAACAAAGTAAGTTAAGGGGAAATATATGGTTATCATCTACTTTATGTTATTGTATATCTTCATTAGGTAAACCTGAGTTATTACAGTGAAGTATAAAATAAGCCTTTACTTACTGCAACCTGTTTCATCAAACTGGTTCCCACAGTCATCGACATCATCACATACAAGGTGCTGGGCAATGCAGTGTCCATTGCTACACTTAAATTCATCTTCTCTACAAGGTCTAGGGGTTGAAGGTGCACCTATAATTTAAGAACAAGTTGAAGTAAAAACTTTTTCTTGTGTGGAACAAGAGGAGAGTTTCCCTCTGTGGCAGAGACAGTATAGCTCACAAATTAGCCTATGCTTCCCAACATTTCCCAGTCTCTCTTGCAGTTAGGTTGAGACCATGTAATTAGTTCTGGCCAATGAACTATGAGATGGAGGTGTCACTTCTGGACTGAAGCAGTTTGAAGTCCAAGTGCCTGCTTTGGCAACCTCAGATGCCATATGTTCAGGTGGCCTACCTATGAGATAGGAAAGGGCTGTCCAACCTGCATCAGCCTTTACATGAGTGAGAAGTAGGTCTTTATAATGTCACACCACTGAGAGTTTGAAATTTGTTGATTGTAGCAGCTAGTATTAATGACCACAACAATATGTAAGTAGGGTACTTCCACTGACTTCATAGTCAGGAGACAAGCAGTGAGGAAAGTGACACGGGAGGCAGGAAAGATAGAGACCCATGTTGTGCTGATAAAGCGGTCACATTGGAAAAAGTGGAAGTCAAACACATGCCTACTGAACTTGTCAATCTAGGGCAAGAGGTTAGAAAACAGAATGTCACTCATGCACAGTGTTTGCCATTGCCTGAGCTTGGCAAGGTAGTGAAGGGGACAAGCTCAGGAAAGAACTGGCTGATTTATAAGCGGAAATGAAAGAAAATAAAGTCCATGAATTTGCAGTGTGGGAAACACTGACTGCATTTAGATCCCAAACACTAAGCTTAAACTTGTTTAAAAGGTTTTGAGACAGAAAGCCCTAGTAAGGCTTCCCAGCTGGATGAAATGGCAGCCCACCTGTGTTGCTAGTTTGCCTGAATGTGACTGACAGCTGAGACAGTGGCACGTGAAGGAGACACAGCAAGGAAATAAAGCTGATTCAAGAACTATGTCTCAAAAGGAACACTGTGAGGTTGTTATCTTTTAGAAATGACTGAAAACAAATAGATCAAAAGCCAGCTTGGTTTCTGAGAGAAATATATGATCAACTAAACCAAAATACTGTGAGTGAGATGCTAAATGACTCTTGGGCCTGAGACATTTTACAAGTAGGAAATGGCTGAGAAAGCTGTGCAGCCCCGAAGGAGAGCATATTCTCCTGTTCCATCCATTTGAGGAGGAAAACAGACATGGAAATACTCCCAAAGGGTGGAGGCAGAGACAGTGAGGAACAGTGGACAGAGGTGTTCTGCCTAAAGCAGAGTCACCACCTCATCAGTGAATCCCACTCCCCACCATAAGGCCTGCACAATGTAAAAGGGTATAGACCTGAACGCCACAATAGTTTCAAAGTCCTCCCTGACATACAGTCCCCTATGGGATGGGAGCTGGTGGTGAGCATTCTAAGCCTACATCAATACAAATGGCAGAAAATAGAAAAATTAAGCATTTATCTAAATTTTCCCAGATAATATCCTTTTAGGAAAAACAGTAATTGGAATCAGGGGAAGTCATTTTCCTCACTTACTTTTTATCTCAGTAAATTAAACTGCCCAGAAAATTAATCAACTCTCCTCTTCAGTGGATAGATTTTAAAACATTCTCAAAATGGAAAAGCACAGATTTTTCTATATATGAAACATTATATCCAGACAGTTTGAAACTTCTGTCTTCAAATAATCCACCATTTTTCTCTTCTGGGAAATGAATGTTCATTTTAAAGGCAGTTATAGGTAAACTCCGTTAACACCAGCATATCTCACTTATGATCTTTTCAGCTGAGCAATGAGAAGTTCACACCCCTAGATTAATGATTAGTAACTCTAGGCTAAAAAGTGATCAAACCTCATAATTTGTGAAGTGTGGCTCAACTAGCATTTAGTGTTTATTTTCATTTTCATAAGAGAAAAGAGGAAAAAAAACCACATATTGAATATTTAAATAAAGATTAAAGAATTGAGGGGCTTGCCAAATATCCAGCTCAAATGGCATAGGAATGAGCACGGGACGGGTTGCATCTGAGGAAGGCATGTGTTTAAAGGGTGTTGTAAATAATCATGTCATCAGAGATCTGCAGTCGCAGGTACAGCTAGAGCTCAAGCCATAGTCACACAGGACATGCCGCACACAACTGGAGCCTAAGTTTCCCTTCTTCTCTGACTTTTGCTTACACAACTCTTCTTTCTCGTCAGTTCCGTCTCCACAGTCATCCACATGGTTACACAGCTCATGACTATAAATACAGCGATTGTTGTCACATCGGAAACGGTATGGTGAATCACAGCGAATGGTCACTGAGAGGAAAGATGGAAAAACAGAGTACAGACTAAGATAGACCATTAAATGTCAGTATCCAAAGGCCTCCCACGATAGTGCCAGGCTTGCTTCATTCATCCACTCATTTGTTCATTTAATTAACTAATCAACAAGTACATCATGAGTATCTAGGACAAAAATAGGCACTGTGCTAGTTACCAGAAACAATGCAGAACTAGAAAGACACAGTCTTTGTCCTTAAGGGACTTCCATTCCAGCAGAGAGACAGACTTCACAAATTAACTGTTCAGTCACAACTGTGATAACAGCCACAAGGGGAACAGTGTTGGGAAAGCATCTACTGGCGGGACCTGATATAGATCTGGGGGAGGCTGGTTCAGAAGAGGCTTCACAAGAGAAAATCCTGAGTCAGGAAGGAACACAGCAGGCATTTGGACCTGAATAATGGTCTCTGTGGCTGGAACACAGCACGAGGAGGGCAGTGATGGCCATGAGAGGGGGAGGCCAGCAAGACACAAACGGCCCCATCCTAACAGCCAGGAGGCCACTGCCTGCCTGAATCTCTGGAACATGAAGTTTTATACTGTGATGGACTTTCCTTCCTGAATTCTCTCACCTCTCATGTTTCACGTTCATATCTCACAATCAAACCCTGACTGATTTTGTTGTCCAGAGTCAGACCTCCAGCTGATGCTTGTGCGTTGTGAGGCACCCAAGCATAGAACCTGGGTCCCTTACTTGTTTGGTGCAAGGGCATAGTCTGCTATGCATGTACCAGCAACTCAGCTGACTCCACACATGTGTGCGTTCTTCTTCAGCACAGAGGACCTAGGTTTTCCTTCTGCCTTCACACCACACACAGGGAGCAAGAAGTTACAATGAGGTTGTTTGAGAGAAAAGTCAGATAGAAGAGCTGGTTCTTCCAAGTATTGTTAATAGAAATATTGCAGGCCAAGTGCAACGTCGTAAAACAACGTTGGTCACTTTAATGTGGCTGTGTCTCTGTCTCCCCAAAGTACAATTTTCTTAGTTATGGGCACTTTATGTTACAGATGGGAGCAGATTCCTAAGGATTTCTTTGAAAGAAACATAAGCTTAAGATAGATATTTTTCAAAATTTATTAAATTAAAAACAAAACATGATTAGTTACTAAAAAGAGGGGTCCAGAAAAATTGTTGGGATGCCACTGTGAAAAGATAATGCAGGCTAATTAAAGTTCTTTGAAGGGGAGGAAATACTCTGACATAGCATTCTCTAGAGACAAATCCCTAGACTAAAACTGAATAGCAATTAACCTAGGGAACAGAATGGAAGGAAAAATGTGAGCTTCCGAAGGGAACTGCAGCTGAGTTAGAGAGCGAGTTAATCAAGAACTCAGTGGGATTGTTTCTGGGACACCTTCTCCCATGTCACAGGCTTTCACCTACATGAAATTCTTACCCTTTGGCTGGTATCAGAATAACTTGGAGGGTTTGTTATTATCAATGAGAGATTGCTAGGTCCACTGCTAGAGATTCAGATCAGGTAGGTCTGGTCTGGGCCTATTGATTCGCACGTGCAGCAGCAATGGCCCTGAGAGCTACTACTAGAGGCTCCTCAGTAACTCAAAGCACATATCAAAATGATCAAAATAAACTCATTTTCATTCATTTTGTTTCAGTAGTTTTCAACCAGGGGACTAAGTTTAAGGTCAGGAGCTTATTAAACACACATTTCCCCAGGTCCCAACCTCAGATATTCTGTGCCACTAGTTCTAAGCCTGGGTGGGGCCAGGCGTGTGATTTTGAAACATCTCCCGCCAAGTGATTCTGATGTGTAGCAAGATTGTGATTCACTGGTTTAAAAAATACACGCCATACAACAATAGGGAATTAAATGGCCTTTAATTATGATGTAAAGCAAAGTGTTTTAAGGATGAACTAGTCTTGTGAAGCTCTGGGGGTTTGGAAGAGGTGCTTCAAGGGGCACCAAAAGGAAGATAGAACAGAAAATGTTAAATACCCACCACCCATACTCAGATCTGTCACTGTTTATGCACACTGTCTTTCCAGGGAAGATATCTTTTGAAGAAACTGTTTTCTAAGGCTGTAAGATGTTTAAAACAATGGATGCTTGCCCAACTTTTTCATGTTCCAAATAAAGAACAAGGCAGGAAGATCAAGTGAAATAACAGCAGGGCTGAGCATGTGTCCAGTCCTAAAAAGTTGTACAACTACCCTCCAGGATCACACGTTCCACATAAGAAGCATTGCTATTTTGCCAGACACCACCACTCCCAAGCACCCCATTTCTCTGCCTTACAGCACAGGTGACGTTCTTCATCAGATCCATCGCCACAGTCGTCATCACCATCACATATCCAAGATAACTGGATACAAATGTGATTTTTACATTCGAACATAGTAGCTGGGCAGTACGCACCATTGGGAAAGCGAGTGGCTGTTTGAGGGGAGGAAACATATTCAAATTATTAGAAAAAGTTACTAGTTTTGGAAAGCTAGCCTACATTCGTCCTGATGTCCTGTGACCATAACCAGCCTGCAATTCTGATGGAATGTTTCTTAAGGAGAGTTGTCAAGTTCCACTTTTCCATGACATGCATTATTCTGTGGATACCACTGGGCATTCTCTTTACAGGCAAGTGCAACTTATTAGTTTTGTGAGCATTGGCTCTACCCATCATCCATTTATGTAGTCTCTGAAACCAGATTTTAAGATGTGGCCACCACATTGTCAACAATATCCATAATGGATAATTAGCAACAATTAGTATTTATTCAAAGACTCATAAAGACTAAAATGTGAATGATCATATTGAATTTACAGTTTTGAATAACTTCTTCTGTCATCATGCAATTCAGAAAATGTTTAATGCTATAAATTCAGAATTTTCTAATACCCAATCCAGCTTCTCTATACTCATTTATTCATTGCTCAAACATTCTTTACCTGTAATGTTTTAATCCAATTAATGATTTATTTCAAAGCTGATAATGTATAAATATTTTTATTAGCATAGACACTTAATATATTCTCTATTTCAAATATTATTGAAATGCACTTGAATGCCTACTATGAACTATATGGATAAGGCGACTCAGAGCCCAGGTGAACTGATAATTATGCTGAACAGAAAATACCTACAGCCTTCTAATTTAAAAAGTGGTGGCTGATGGGAGTGGTGGGGTCTACACTGCCAAATCCCTGCAATTTCAGATAAGCAGTGCTACAGGTGTCTAGAAACTTACGACAAGTGGCTTCATCAGAGCTATCAAGGCAGTCGGCAGTCCCATCACAGGTCAGTTGCTCTGGCACACAGTGTCCACTCTCACACTGAAAATACCCAGGATGGCAGGTCTTCATCTCTGCAGAGAAAAGGCTCCTTGTCACTCTCAGACAGCGGTTAGGTCCACAGAGTGCAGAAGGTACTCCGTCACGTTCCTGTCCACACCATGGACTGGCTCACAAGAAACCCACACCTTGTGTTAGTGAGTGAATGAACTCTCAGAACTCACACCTTCCCCATGAAGGATATGGAGATGGAAGTACCTGTCTCTCTTCTATTAAAGAATCTCCAGCTTTGAAGCTTTTCCTCAGAAATCTGAATTCCCCAGCTTTTAATGTTTGCTGATTTTTCTCAGACCCAACCCTTATCAATAGAGAGCTATAAAAATTACTTGGGGTTTATGATTCCTATTCTAGTGCTTTGATCTCTACACCACAGAGCCCCAGCAGCAGACCCCTAAGGACTGCTGTTCTAGGGCATGGTAGAAAGACTCATGCTTTAATTTGCTTAGAAGGCCAGCACAGATTAAAGTCTGCTCCTAGGAAATGTTTAAATTAAAGTGAGATTTTTAAAAATCTCTTGCTATTTTCCCCTACTATTATTTATCTACATTTTCTGTATATTAAGTAGAAAGCGTAGAAAATATAAAACAGAAGGTACTGTATTATACTAAGGTTTATCTATTACATATATATTACACAAGAATTACTCTAAAAACCTTATTAATACACATTTGAAGTCTCTACTTCTGTCAGATGTGCTGCCCCTGCACTGTACGCTATGGTCAGCATCTCAAATAACTCTGACAGTTACCACAGTCCCGCTCATCTGAGTTGTCCCCACAGTCATTGGTTTGGTCACAGGTCCATTGAGAGGGAATGCAGCTCTGATCGTCACATCGAAACTCGCTCTCCGTGCACTCCCGGGGGGCTGAAAAGCAAAGCCCGTGGCCATCAGAGGGCACCAGAAATTGTACACAGGACAGGCTTATGAGTTGGCCAAAGTAACCTTGGTGTCCCAGGCTGTCCTGTGTCCCAAGTACTAGAGGTCAGCTTGAGCTGACTGTCCTTTCTCCAAAAATAGACCTCCCACCACTAGTTTAAGGATGTAAAGAGTAACCTCTACTAAGGGGTTTGTTCAAAGGTGATTTAATCTTAAAATGATTTTTGATTTCAAGAAATTCTAGATACTGTCCTATAAGATTCACATGAACATTCATATAAACAATAAAATGCCAGTTAGATCACCCTTTCTGTAAGAAGGTTTAGCCAGTTGATTTTTGCAGTTATAATCAGATTATCTCAATTATCTATGGCAAATGTGATCACTTCTTACTTACAGAAGGTGAATAAAGTTATAAGGTGTTTCATGTTTGTCCATCTGAAATTGACATATACCACGAGTCAATGATATATGTTCAGACCAGGGCCTCATTAAAGATGTTTTCAAAATTCATCCAGTTATTCAGGACTAACTCTCTAGTTTGATGTGATCCTGACCTTTGCCTTCCTTTCCTTGACCTCCCTGTCCAATTCCTTGTAGTCAGCCCCTTCACAGAAAGAAAAAGGAACTAAAAGCCTGACCTTAAAGCCATTTAGCCATGAACCCCCCTTAAAGAGTCAGCTGTACCAAGATACATGACAATCCAAACTACAAGTCCTCTCTCCTCTGTTATTAAGGCCATTGTGGGGCAAGAGCTTAAGATGCAGGGTCTTTGGGTTAGCACTTGTTCTTCTGGTACTTTGCTTAGTCCTGATTTTCTATTTCTATTCTATTTATCTTACTGTATTTGTCCTTTATCATAAGGACACCTCAAATTATTTTTGGAAAACAAGTTGGGTGTAAATAGATTAAACAGACAAAGGTATACTGGGGTAAACATCCTCCTCCCAAAGCTTGATTGATTATAAGCATCTCAGAAGGAAACATATGTATCTTTAGTCCAAGAAAAAGTAGAAATGTGCAAGTCAGCAGAAAGCAAGAGATGAGGTAGTTGTCTTCCTACCCTTTGAGGGTGAATGGCATAGACAGTTAAACTACGGACAAAGAGCAGATATCACAGGTCGGGTAGCACCTAAAGATGATGAAACTTCACACACTCACCACAGTTTTCCTCATCTGAGTGATCTCCACAATCATCATGCCCATCACACCTCCAGCGAAGAGGGATGCACAAGTGGTTATGACAGCGGAAGTGACCCACAGGTTTGCACGTCATCTCCTCTGCAAAGCACAGTCATTGCAAGGACTTCAGAAGCCAATGGTTAAGAAATGCCAGAGTAGTACTGGCTTCCTTATGAGAGTGGGAGAATGCAACAAAAGTGCTATGAAAATAGAACATGTTCTTGGAAGAATCAATAGGTTGTCCTTTTACAGAGGTAAACAAAAGATAACATGGGGAATCCACACTCATCTCCTAATAATGGCTCTTGGCACTTGAATTTCTTGTCCCTCCCCAACATCCCCGTGGCCCCTACCACAGCCTTGCTCATCACTGTTGTCCCTGCAGTCATCGCGGCGATTGCACACAGCCCACTGGGGGATGCAGCGGTAGTTAGTCCGGCAGCTAAACTCTGTGTGGTTGTCACAGCGATGGGCAGGGCTTGCTGCAGAGAGAGCAGGTAGCAAAGTCAGAACTAAAGTCACAGTCCTGCCAGGAAATAGCTCAAAAAGGCGCCTTTCCTTTCCATAGTTACATTTAGGACACAGTACTGGGATGAGTAACCATTACCATGTTACCAACTAAATTGACTCTGGCAACATGTGTCTGTTTTAGGTGTGAGCTGTTCACCAGGGGCAAAAATAGTCCAAACTTTTCTCACTATCTCAGTACTAGTTTGTGTCACACTATAATTTTGTGGAGCAGAAAGGACTGAGCTTGAAGTGAAAAATCCTGGTTGAAGTGCTGCCTCTGCTACTAATAGAAATTGTTATCATCCACTTAAGGTAAGCCTCAGTTTCCTCATCTGTAAGGAATTGTTAACACACACCTTCCCTACCTCACAATGTTTGTCTGAAGCTCAAAAGAGAAAGTGCTATATGCACAAATTGTAAGCAGAGTATAAAGAGGAGGAATCAGCCACTTCCCACCCAGGTTTGGCTCATTCCGCAAACCACACCACTTTTCTTTGCACCATGGTGCAGAGTGAGCATGGTGAGCCAGTAAGCAGTTTCTCATGGGGCTGCAGTAGGGAACCCTTGTCCTCTCTCAAGCCACACAGGTGTTCCTGTTGTTTCCTATTCCTGGTCAGGCCATGTCCCTCCCACAGGAACTCACTGCATTCATGGATGGGCTCATCCGAGTAGTCTCCACAGTCATTGTCCACATCACACTTCCAGTTCTGAGGGATGCAGTGGCCACTGGTGCACTTAAAATAACCTGGCTGGCAGACCCTGCTGGCACAGTGGGAACTGTCTTCATCTGAGTTATCCCCACAGTCATTCTCCGAGTCACACTGCCAGGCTTCTGGGATGCAGCGTTTATTGGCACATTGCCATTCATTGGACTCACATCGGTGATTCTCTGCAAGCAGGGGCATTGGGTTATCAGTTTGGAAGGCATCAGAAATGGAAGCTTCTAATTTAAGGTGATAGATCCTGGAAAACTAGATCATCATTTCTTTTTGGAAGACTTCCATCCTAATGCACATATTATCAAGCAGTAGTACTGTGTGGTCAGTTATTCCTATGGCCTGTACTGTCTCCTGAGTGTGACATATCTTGTCCTTGAATGCAGAATCAGGGAATAAATACTGAATCATTCACAGCCTATTCAATTTAAATTTAAATTGTCCTGTTCTGCTAATGGCCAATGTTTTTCAAATTCTGTGTTTGTTGCTGCGTTTAGTGTGATGGGTATTTTTTTTCTTTTTTGGCAGGGGAAGGCTTTTTAAAAAGTAAAATATAGATAGCACAACTGAGAAGAAAAAAACTAGTTGTTTAAAATGGGTCTGGTAAACCGTTATTTCACTCTCAATGTTAGTGAAACAGGCAAGGGACAGGGGGCAGCCCCTGTCCAGTAGGAGCAAGATAAGGGCCTGGGAAGGGCAAGCAGGGTGCTGACTAAGGACCTTGAGAATGTGAGAAATGGGAGACTTGCAGCTGAAACAGTGAGAATGGTAATAAAGAACCATTTTTACTAACTGTAAGTCCCATAGCTCACTAGGTAAAAACAGAAATGACCTTTAGTATGATTGGCTAAAATAGTTTCTCTCCCTAGTCAATGCAACAAGCATAAAACTCCTAGACCTGAGCTCAGAAATGGCAGCCTTGGTTCTCCCAGTGTATGCTTGGGAGTTCTGTGCCTTTACTTCTCTATGAATAAAAAAATAAAAAGCCTCTTTCTTGCTTGCCTACCTTGAGTGTTTGCGAAGTTCATTCTTCAACTCCATCAACAAGAACCCTGGCATCATTAGCTCTTAAAGAGGGTTCTATGCATGGCACATGGTAAAGAGCCACCAAAAGAGACAATTTACTGTCTACCTTAACCATGTACCTTGTACAAACCTTAAGGTTTCTTAAAAAAATCACAAAAAATAGATACAGGATGAACTCTGAGTTTTCTCCTAGGACTTTGGAGTTGTTTTTGGTTTATGACACTCAGAAAATCCCCACAGTATCAGGATTGTACACGATCAACTATACAAGTGTTCAAAGAAGACATAAAGCAATTCAACACACCACAAAGAACAGGGTCCTCATCAGACCCGTCAGGGCACTCTTGGTGAGCATCGCACAGGAAGTGTGGGCTGGTGCAGTTGCCATCCTTGCACTGGAACTGTCCTAAACGGCAGTAACGATATGGGCAAGTGTTGGGTTCATCAGAGCCATCTGAGCAGTCTCTCTGTCCGTCACATTTCCACCAGATTGGAATACACCTGTGCAGAGTAAATACAGCACTTCTCTCAGCAAAGCACCAGGGATAAAACAGCAGGCAATGGCTCTCTGGAGAGAAGTTAAAATTGAATTCCAAGTAATAACATACATACTTGAGTTCCAGACCTAGGAAGTCATAGACCTAGAAGGTCAATTAAACCTGTTACTATGGTATATTTTCAGAGAAAAAACTACATGAGATAGAATAGGTTGGTTAAAATTCACATAGATGCTGAAAAAAAGTACTTTAGTACAATGATTAAATTCCTGCAACAACAAACAGTGGTGTGGGGGTTTAGAGCTGTGGTTCTGGTAGGAGGGATTGCTTGGGATTGACTAGCAGGAAAAAATCTAAGTACAAAAGACATTTGGGTATTAGGAAGCTAGAGGGCACTAACATTTGTTGAGAGAGGCTTTGTCATGATAGGCATATGCTAGATTCTTAATCTAAGATATTTTATTGAATCATCAAAATATCTGCCATTCACAAAAATCTCAATCATAATATAAGTTGGTCACAGGGATGGTAGTGCAGCATGGAGAACATCTTCCTATGTGGACAGATAGTAACTGCACTAGCTGGGGTGAGGATTTAAAAATGTGTATGACTGTTGAATCATTCTGTTGTATACTTGAAACCAATACTGTGTATCAACTATACTTCAATTCAAAAAATAATCTGCCATTGGATCTTCAATGCTATGATTGCATTAATACCTCCTCCCAATCTCACTCTCTGACTCAGTTCCCCTAACAGTCAATGACCTATGGCAACTGTTAGGGAAATGATCTGTGGCCATGTTCTCTTACAAATGCAAATGATCAAAAATGGATTAGATTGTGTAACCTGGTTCCTCTGACATAGTTAACTAAGGAGCTATGCCAGTATATGCACACACAAGACAAAGAAATTCTAGCACTCTTGAGGGCGATTTTACAGCATATGCTTACATACACTCTTGGCCCTGACGCTTAGGACAATTTATTAGAAATAAAAAACACATAATTTTGGAGAGGATTAAAGATGGCAGCAAGAGAGGTGAGACAAAAACCTCCTTCCAAAACCACATATAATATGAAAATATAGCAGATACATCAAATCCTGAAAGAACAACAGAAAAGAAGGCTGTGGCAGACTGTCTACACCTGGGGAAACCAGCAGACCTCAAGGAAAAGGGTAAAGCACCAAAGCTATGATCCAGAGGGACCCAAGCCCTTCCCCCACCCCAGCTCACCGGAGAGAAGAAGAGAAGTGGAGTGGGAAGGGGGTGGAGGCCTAGGACTGCCGAACACCCAGCCCTGGAGATCTGCTCTGGGAGCACAAACCAACATTACACAGTGCTCTGGAGATTAGTGGGGTTGGAAAGCTAAAACAGAAGGAATACTTAGAGAGACTGAAATTCCAGCTGCTTATGGAAAATAAGGATCCACATCTGGCCACTCTGGGATAAAAGAAAGGCGGGGAGTCTGAAAGACTTCCTAATAGTGAGAGAGCTGCTAAAGGGGCAAGGTTAGCACAGAGCTTGCTGCTCAGGGAAAAGGACAGGTGGACAAAATTGTCCAGGGGCATTCAGCCCCGCAGGTTGGGAAATTTCAGGAGCTTCAGGTTCTCCAACCACCTGGCTAGCAACACAGCTATGAGGCCCCCCACTGTGATACACAGCATGCTAAGCCTTCCTCCCAGTTGGGACCAGATCACAAACCAGCTGCCCCTGCCATTGTGCCAGGCTAGCCAGAGGTGTCCCTGCCTATGGCTGCTAAGTGCAAAACATAGAGGCTTCTCCCTGCATGCTTGGCCCACTGGCCCTGGCAGTGGAGACAGGCACTGCAGTGGGGAAGCAGGAAAGAGCTTTTTCTTCCAAACAGGCACCAGGACCGCTCACCTGCAACCCCTGCCATCGTTCCAGGGGCAGAGCAGCTCCAGAAAGTAGAGCTTCTGGGCACTAGCAGGTGCCACATACAAATATGGAACATCAAAGGAACCTGATTCAAACAAAAATCCCACAAACACCAGAAACAGGACCAAGTGAAACTGAACTCATTAATCTTCTTGAATGAGATTTCAAAATAAAAATCATTAACATGCTCACAGAGATACAGAAAAATATTCAAGAACTATGAAGGAATTCAGGAATGAGATAAAAATGTTCAAGAATATAGTATCTGAAATGAAACATACAATGAGGGATTTAAAAGCAGATTAGTTGAAGTAGAGGAGACAGTAAATGAAATAGAAATTAGAAAACAAGCATACAAAGAAGCTGAGGTACAGAGAGAAAAATGGATATCTAGGAATAAAAGAACATTGAGAGAACTGTGTGATAAATCCAAATGGAACAATATTCACATTATAGGGGTACCAGAAGAAGAAGAGAGAAAAATGGATAGAAAGTGTCTTTGAAGAGATAATTGGTGAAAACGTCCCCAATCAGAGGAAGGACATATAGTCTCTCAGGCCATGGATATGCATGGATCTCCCAATACAAAGGACCCAAGGAAGACAACACCAACACATAAAATAATTAAAATTGCAAAGATTAAGGATAAGGACAGACTATTAAAAGCAGCCAGAGAGAGAAATTAGATCACATACAAAGGAAAACCCATCAGTCTATCATCAGACTTCTCAACAGAAACCTTACAGGCCAGAAGGGAGTGGCATGATATATTTAATGCAATGAGGCAGAAGAGCCTTGAACCAAGAATACTCAACCTGGCAAGATTATTATTTAAATTTGAAGGAGGGATTAAACAATTTTCAGATAATCAAAAGCTGAGAGAATTTACCACCCACAAATTGTCTCTGCAGTGTATTTTGGAGGGACTGCTCTAGATGGAAGGGTTCCTAAGGCTTAATAGCTGTCACCAGAGGAAATAAAACCACAGTAAAGAAAGTAGAACAATTAATTACTAAGGAGATGCAAAATCAAATCAACTAACTCAAAGTTAGTCAAGGGATATACAGAGTATAGAACATGATACCTAATATATGAAGAATGGAGGAGGAAGTAAGGAGGGGGAAAAAAAGAACCTTTTGATTGTGTTTGTAACAGCATGCTGAGTTAAATTAGACTGTTACATAGTAAGGAAGCTACCCTTGAACCTTTGGTAACCACAAATATAAACCCTGCAATGGCGATAAGTACATACCTATTGAAAATCACCCTAAATGTAAATGGTCTAAATGCACCAATCAAAAGACATAGAGTCACTGAATGGATAAAAAAAACAAGACCCATATGTATGCTGCCTACAAGAGGGTCACTTCAAACCCAAAGACATACACAGACTAAAAGTGAAGGGATGGATATATTTCATGCAAATAATAGGGAGAGAAAAGCAGGAGTTATGTACATGTATCAGACAAAATAGACTTCAAAACAAAGAAAGTAACAAGAGATAAAGAAGATTATTATGTAATGATAAAGGGGTCAGTGCAACAAGAGGAAAGAACTGTTATAAATATCTATGCAACCAACACAGGAGCATCTACATATGTGAAACAAATACTACCAGAATTAAAGGGGGAAATCAAATGCAACACATTCATTTTAGGAGACATCAACACACCACTCACTCCAAAGGACAAATCATCCAGACAGAAAATAAGTAAGGAAACAGAGGCACTGAACAACACATTAGGACAAATGGACCTAACAGATACCTACAGAACACTCCACCCAAAAGCAACACATTCTTCTCAAGAGCACATGGAACATTTTGCAGAATGGATCACATACTAGGCCACAAAAAGAGCCTCAGTAATTTCAAAAACATTGAAATTGTACCAACCAATTTCTCAGATCACAAAGGTATGAAACCAGGGATAAATTAAACAAAGAAAACAAGAAAGCCCACAAACACATGGAGGCTTAACAACATGCTCCTAAATAATCAATGGATCAATGACCAAAGTAAAACAGATATCAAATAATGGAGAGAAATGACAAAAATAACTCAACAGTGCAAAATCTGTGGGATGCAGCAAAGGCTGTGCTAAGAGGGAACTATATTGCAATACAGGCCTACCTCAGGAAACAAGAACAATCCCATATGAAGAATCTAAACTCACAATTAACGAAACTAGGAAAAGAGAACAAATGAGGCCCAAAGTCAGTAGAAGGAGGGAAATAATAAAGATTAGAGCAGAAATATATAAATTGAGAAGAATAAAATAATAGAAAGAATCAATGAAAGCAAGAGCTGGTTCTTGGAGAAAATAAACAAAAAAGATAAACCCCTAGCCAGACTTATCAAGAAAAAAAGAGAGTCTACACACATAAACAGAATCATAACTGAGAAAGGAAAAATCACTATGGGCACCAGAGAAACACAAATTATTAGAGAATACTATGAAAAATTGTATGCTAACAAACTGAATAACCTAGAAGTCAACAACTTTCTAGAAAAATACAACCTTTCAAGGCTGAACCAGGAAGAAACAGAAAATCTGAACAGACCAATTACCAGCAATGAAATTGAATTGGTAATAAAAAAACTATCTGAACCAGATGGCTTTACTGTTGAATTTTATCAAACATTCAGAGAAGGCCTAATAGCCATCTTTCTTAAGGTTTTTCAAAAGTAGAAGAGGAGGCAATACTCCCAAACTCATTCTATGAGGTAGGCATCACTCTAATACCAAAACCAGGCAAAGACACCACAAAAAAAGAAAATTACAGACCAATATCCCTAATGGACATAAATGTAAAAATACCCAACAAAATATTAGCAAACGGAATTCAAAAATACTTCAAAAAGATCATCCATCATGATCAAGTAGGATTTATTCCAGGGATGCAAGGATGGTACAACACTAGAAAATCCATCAACATCATCCATGACATCAACAAAAAGAAGGACAAAAACCACATGATCATCTCCATAGATGCTGAAAAAGCATTCAACAAAATTCAACATCCATTCATGACAAAAAACTCTCAACAAAATATGAATAGCAGGCAAGTACCTCAACATAATAAAGGCCATTTATGACAAACCCACAGCGAGCATCATACTTAACAGAGAAGCTGAAAGCTTTTCCTTTAAGATCAGGAACAAGACGAGGATGCCCACTCTCCCACTTTTATTCAACATAGTTCTGGAGGTCCCAGCCACTGCAATCAAACATGTTTGAATTTTATCAAACATTTTTGTTTGGAATTGTACCAACCAGCTTCTCAGATCTCAAGGTATGAAACCAGAGATAAATTAAACAAAGAAAACAAGAAAGCCCACAAACACATGGAGGCTTAACAACAAGCTCCTAAATAATCAATGGATCAATGACCAAATTAAAACAGATATCAAATAATGGAGACAAATGACAACAATAACTCAACAGTGCAAACATCATAAAAGGCATCCAGATTGGTAATGAAGAAGTTAAACTGTTACTGTTTGCAGATGGCATGATATTGTACATAAAAATCCCTAAATAATCTACTCCAAAATTACTAGAACTAATAACTGAATTCAGCAAAGTTGCAGGATACAAAATTAATACACAGAAATTTGTTGCATTCTTATGTAATAAAGATGACCTAGTTAGTAGGAAGAGAAATCAGGAAAACAATTCCATTCACAATTGCATCAAAAAGATTAAAATACCTAGGAATAAACATAACCAAGGTAGTGAAAGACCTATATTCTGAAAACTACAAGACCCTCATGAGAGAAATTAAAGAAGATACCAATAAATGGAAACACATCCTGTGCTCATGGATAGGAAGAATTAATATTGTCAAAATGGTCATCCTGCCTAAAGCAATCTACAGATTCAATGCAATCCCTATCAAAATACCAAGGCATTCTTCAACGAACTAGAGCAAAAAGTTCTAAAATTCATATGGAACCACAAAAGATCCCGAGTAGCCAAAGCAATCCTGAGAAGGAAGAATAAAGCTGGGGGGATTACGCTCCCTGACTTCAAGCTCTCCTACAAAGCCACAGTAATCAAGACAATTTGGTACTGGCACAGGAACAGACCCATAGACCAATGGAACAGAATAGAGAGCCCAGATATAAACCCGAGCATATATGGTCAATTAATATATGATAAAAGAGCCATGGATATACAGTGGGGAAATGACAGCCTCTTTAATGACTGGTGTTGGCAAAACTGGACAGCTACATGTAAGAGAATGAAACTGGATTACTACCTAACTCCATATACAAAAGTTAACTCAAAATGGATAAAAGACCTGAATGTAAGTCATGAAACTGCAAAACTCTGAGATGAAAACTTAGACAAAAATCTCTTGAATATAAACATGAGCAACTTTTTTCCTGAATGCATCTCCTCAGGCAAGGGAAACAAAAGCAAAAATGAACAAATGGGACAACATCAAGCCAGAAAGCTTCTGTACAGCAAAGGACACCATCAGTAGAACAAAAAGGCATCCTACAGTACAGGAGAATATATTTGTAAATGACATATCTGACAAGGGGTTAACATCCAAAATATATAGAGAACTCATACACCTTAACACCCAAAAAGCAAATAACCCTATTAAAAAATGGGCAGATGATATGAACAGACAATTCCCCAAAGAAGAAATTCAGATGGCCAATAGGCAGATGAAAGATGCTCTACATTACTGATTATCAGGGAAATGCAAATTAAAACCACAGTGAGATATCACCTCACACCAGTTAGGATGGCCAACATCAAAAAGAACAGGAACAACAAATGCTGGCGAGGATGGAGAGAAAGGGGAACCCTCCTACACTGCTGGCACGAATGTAAATTAGTTCAACCTTTGTGGAAAGCCATATATAGATTCCTCAAAACACTAAAAATAGAAATACCATTTGACCCAGGAATTCTACTCCTAGGAATTTACCCAAAGGATACAGCAGCCCAGTTTGAAAAAGACAGATGCATCCTGTGTTTATTGCAGCACTATTTACAGTAACCAAGATATGGAAGCAACCTTAGTGTCCATCAGTAGATGAATGGATAAAGATGTGGTACATATACACGATGGAATATTATTCATCCATAAGAAGAAAACAAATCCTACCATTTGCAACAACATGGGTGGAGCTAGATGGTATTATGCTCAGAGAAATAAGCCAGGCAGAGAAAGACAAGTACCAAATGATTTCCCTCATTTGTAGAGTATAAAAATGAAGCAAAACTGAAGGAACAAACAGCATCAGACTCACACATTCCAAGAAGGGACTAATGGTTACCAAAGGGGACAGGTGGGGGAATGTAGGTGGGGAGGGAGGGAGAAAGGGATTGAGGGGTATTATGATTGGCACACATGGTGGGGTGTTACTGGGAAGACAGTGTAGCACAGAGAAGACAAATAGTGACTCTGTGGCATCTTACTGCACTGATGGCAGTAACTTCAATGGGATATGGGGGACTTGATAATATGGGTGAATGTAGTAACTATAATGTTTTTCATGTGAGACCTTGATAAGCATGTGTATCAATGATACCTTAATAAAAAAATTAAAATACATAGTTTGCTTCCTCACTACTGATATAAAAATGTGCATACACAGGCATAACCATGTGATTAACAAATTCCTTCTACTCATGGAAGAAATTATCTGAAGTTGGAGACCAAGAGTCTTCCTTACTTCCGAATGAACCACATTAATTAGCCAAAATTTTAGTTCATTAGAAAACTCCCAGCCCCTGGATCCTCAAAGTTCAATGAGTGTCCATGGGATGGAGAGGCAGTGCAGAGATGGGGAGAGGACCTTACTTTTCATTGTCAGCACACAGGAATTGGGTGCTGGAGCACATGGGCAGGCACTGGGTACTGTCACCCTGCTGGAGAGTAAAGAAGTTGTCTGGACACTCGCAGGTAAATCCATTTCCTCCTGCTTTGATGAGGCAGAGATGAGAACAGCCACCATTGTTGGCACCACAAGGATTGTTCACTAGTGAAAGAAGGAAGAAAATGTACGCTCATTCACCGAGAGTATCAAGCACAAATGAGCTCATTACCGACCTCATCAAACTCTCACCTCTCAGTAAGAAAAATCATTATCCTGGTTTCATGCTTTTTCCAAAAGGTCATAAATAGGACAGATAGTAGAACTGCATGAGCAACCCTGTGCTTTGAAATTGATTTATGTTCTGCCAGAAGCAAGGTGTAGCTGCTGGCGTTCTGAGCTAGGAAAGATGTGTTTCTCAAGGTCGAAGAGCAGGTGAGAAACAGCTTACATTCATGTGCCCAGAACCTAAGTTAAAGTTTTTTCCAGAAGACGCTATGCTCTCTTCACTCTAAGGATATAGACAACAGAAGTATGGCTAAGAATGAGGTGGATGGGTATCCTGAACAACATCTTTACTAATTTTCTGGGTCACCACCTGGAGGTGAAGATTAATTTACACATCTGTTAAAATAACTCAAAGAATATTAATTTCCAGAAAGAAATACCAAATATCTTCATTTTGCCAACCTCATTTTTCCTTTCTTCCAAGTTTATGTTTATCAAGGCACTGCAACAATGCAGGCCCACAAAATCCTTTCTCTCCCCAGTGTATATTCCAGACCTTTGCTAGATTTTCTATAAATCATACAATGGCTTTAAATGCATCAGGAATACAAGTTCATAAGCAAGTAAAACACACATTCCCTACTTATGAGGCACTGAAGTGTGTTGCTCTCAATATTACCTTATAGATGACAAGCATAACATGTATGTAATACTCAATACAATGTCATATGCAAATAGACATTTAAAAGGCGATGTTTTATAATTATTGTAATTTTCTTTTAAACATTTATTTCAAATCAATCATTTCTATAGATTGATCCTGTTATTAAGGAATGACTGTTAATCTCTTTGGTAATATAACTTACTATAGTTATATAAGGAAATATCCTTATTTTTTAAAGGTGTTTTCTTAAGTATTTGGGTCTGAAATGTCACAATAGTTTTATTATGTATTATCCAGTCCTCCCATCAATAAATGCAGTGAATGAGGCAACATAACAACTGTTACTCTTATAAAAAACAAAAACCCAGGCTGATCTTTAAGAATAGAGTAGGTGTTAAGAAAAAGAAGAGTTATAAGCAGCTTTTCCCAGGAATAAGGGAATAAATGTTTCCTCCAAAGATGTTCCATACCCTCAACTTTCAGCATCTGTCTAGGAGAAAAAATTAGCAAGCAACATCATTCCCTTTATAAATTATGATGCTTATTGCTTAAAGACACAAGAATGGCAGGCACAGAACCTAAAGTGACTGTGCCAAACTTCTGAACCACCTACTCACCGATTGGCTGCCGGTACGGATGATACACATGGATGTCAAATGGTTTATGTGTTATATTCACCAGAACAACCCTGTTTGATCCATCATATTTGTTTCCCTTTTCAACTGTCCTTGTATTCCAATCTGTCCAATAAATAGTGTCTTCAAAAATGGTGACAGCAAAGGGGTGAGGCAGTGTCCCATCATACACTGTGTGCCGGTGGTTGCCCTCCAAATCTGAGTACCTGGGGTAGAAGGAGACAGTCCCTCAATATAACTCTTCTCCTCTAATGCCTTTAAGGAGAGGTGAACTGACAAATTAATAAAATTCTACCTTGGGGAGGTAACTGAAGTTTAGAAAAGGCAATGCTTTAAACCATTACTAATTCTTGACCACAGCTGCTTTCCCGCACATACAGATGTTCTCCTGATGCAGCTGTTGCAGGCTTACAACCTATAACGTGGATGATCTCCATTCAGCATCCTTTTGATATCCTGGGGTAAACACCATTTTTTTCCCTAAGTCATTGGAAGAAATTTGAGGATAGCAAAATTAAGCTGGAATTTTGCCTTCTCACGAACATTTCAGTGGAGAAGCTACTCTAGGAGACAGCTGGTTTCTCAGTATAACCTGAGAGGAATATACTAGCTGAGTTAAATCTTAGGCCTGCAGGCTTAACTTTGCATACACTGGCAGCACACTTATTTACCATGCCTTGGTCACTATTAATGAACACTTTCCCAGATGAATAAAATTCCAGAGGAGGCTCTCTAATTTTAAAATGTTGAAGAACATCCACAGCCTAATTTCCAGGTCCTTCTAGTTCCAATATCTCACTCATTACTGAGTCTATGTCAAAATATTAACATTGCCATATTTTAAAATTTTAGAGCAGACCCTAAAACTGAAAAAGGAGGTAGAATAAGCTAGCAACTAAGAAACCTAATAATTCTAGCTATGCAATATTGAAAATATTTTCCAAAATAGCATGATTGGTGATAACTTATGGAAACCATAGGAAAACTTGAAGATGACCTTCTTAGTCTGGATGGGTAAGATTTCAGGTAAATGACCAGAATTTAGTCACCATCTGTTTCTTTAAAAAACCGTAGACCAGAAAGTAGTCTTGAGACCTTTTCTTTCAGTTCTTGCATGACCTCTGTAGAGATCTCAGATACTTCTATGAGTATTTTTTGTTGACTGCAGCACCATAGGCACAACTATAAGGATTTGTTGGCACATCCCAAGATGAACAAGAACTGGATTAGATGCTCTACAAAAATATATTGCTTTACATAGTCTATGAAATTTATTTCTGAACACAAACATTGCTACCCCTTGATCAAGAGTTGATCAAGTCAACAAGGACACATGAATATTAAAGGTTCATTCATTTCCAGATCATAGTGCCTTATTTGACTTTTAGAAAGTAACCCACTCTCTGAACTTTAGAATCTAGCTATACAAATAATCTACTATATTTTGACAGACAGTGAGCAGAATTTTAAGCAGCTAGGACATGCCTTTTTCTTCTACTACTCCTTAAAATACTACCTATGTGTATACTATTTCAGTTAAACTTACTAAGTATCAAGACCAAGAATAATCTGTAAAACCTAAAGGACAACAAAAAATAATGATAAAGTTGTGGAAGATTATTTGAACACCTTGATGTTTCTTCTAATTCAAAATGGGATTTTTATGGGAAGCTAACTAAGCTCTATGGTGTTCCTTCATGGTGTGAGAAGAGTCACAGGTGTCACCATCTGTATATTACATTAAAATGGCACAAATAAATCAGAATATTCTACTTACTCTGATGAAATTGATTTCTACCTTACAATGAATTAGTATCTGTTATGGTAAAGTCTACAAAAAGAACACTAAAGATTACCTTAATATATCAAATGAATTAGGGACAAGGAAGTATTCCCAAAGCTTCATATGTCAAAATCCTAATAATCAATTTTTCCAAAGTCTCCTTCCCTATGTACCCTAGACATATTTCCAAACTAAGATCACACAACATTGTGACTGTAGTTGATAATACTATATTATATATTTGAAAATTGCTAAGAGAGTAGGTCTTAAAAGTTAACACACAGAAAAATTTGTAACTGTGTAGTGATGTTAATTAGACATATTGTGGTGATAATTTTGCAATACATATGTATATCAAATCATTATGTTGTACTCTTGAAACTAACACAATGTTATATGTTAATTATGTCTCAACTTTTTTTTAGAGAGGAAAAAAGAAAAAAGCCCTAAGATCCTGAGGTAAGTCCAAGGTGCTGAGCTCATAACAGACATTGAGGAGTAGCAGAGGCTGATAGCATAGCCTGTAAGAACAATGTCGCATGCTCAGGCCAGGGGTGGCAAAGCTGGGGAGGATTCTTGGGAAATGTCCCAGTTCAATAAAAGTGAGTTCTAGGATTGATTAACTCCATCTGCAGTGAGCAGAGGAGGGGAGAGCATTAGCATGTGTCAGGTGTTTCTTCCTTCTGAGTGGCAGTTTCCCAAGGGAACAGGGGATTAGAGAACTTTGAAAATTTCTACACTGGCTTTGGGAGCAAAATTAATTTCACAGAATGAGAGAAAATTTAAAGGCTTTTAAAAGCTCTCTACTGAATTACTGACAATTCCATACTTCTGAAGGCAACAGGTGTGTACCTGGGTACTTATTCATAAATGTTTACCCATAAAGCATTACTATAGCTCAACTAGGCCCTAATTAGCAATGGCAAAAAATAAATACATACTGCCTGGTTAATAAAGTGTATTAGCTTCTTTACAATGAGTATTTCAACACACTTTTTAAAAATTATCCTATTAGGAAGATTTGAATGCATTATCATAATGAAAAAATGTTAATAGACTCTATTATTACTCAACACACTTCATTATACTCATCAATAAACACACAAAATTTTAGGGAAAGCCTTTTCAATACTTTTGCTCTATTTCTTTGTTCAAATGCTAAAATACATTATTCATATCTTTGGGAGGGGAGAGCAAAGTAAAGATATAGGGAAAATAAGAAGAGTTGAACAACAAACTGACAACCACAGGGGAGAGATTACTAGCTCCATTTTTCTGATGAAAAAAACAATAAGAAGTGAAAGCACCAGGACAAAAACCTGATCTGTATGGCTTCAAAGTTCATGCTCTTTCTACTGTGCCATACCACAGAGCACAGCGAATTGCCCAGAGGCAGTTTTAGTTACAGGTGACCTCAGAGTGACTTCTAACACAGAGGCAAGTTAGCAGCTGCCTGGGAATAATACACTGGCAATACAGGCCCTAGTGTTTGGAATAAACAGCCACCCAGTTTGTTTTATTATTTTCTATATACGTACTCAATGTAACCCAGGTGTGCATCTGTCCAGTAAAGTAGATCATTGGTGTAATCGATGGTGATGCCATTGGGCCACTCTAACTTGGTAGAGGTGACCACAGACTTATTAGTTCCATCCATGCCTACTCTTCCAATGTATGCTTTGTGAGTCCAATCTGTCCAGTAGACATAGCTGTGGGAACAAACACAGTGGGTCAGTCCCTGGAGCCAGAAGAAGTCAGTGACAAAAGGGCATAGCTCTTCTCCAGTTATAGAAGTAGAATACAGAGTCTCTCAAAAACAAAAGAGAACTAACAGAAAATAATCTAAAAGGTGACAATGTACAGCAAATACATAAGAATGAACATAATTATCTAGGGATGTCAGTGGATTTGACATGGAAAGGCCAGGAAAGGTGGAGTATTTTATTAACCATAATTTTCTTTGCATGCAGCCAAAAATGTGACTTGAAAAGTGAAATAATGTGTCATGGCAAAGAAAACAGAATAGCTGAGGAATATCATTGGAACAAGCCATGCTCTACCCATTATATTAACATTATACTAAACCATTTACCAGTTAGGAAAAGCAGAAGACAAGGCCCTGCAAGACATTGGCCTTGAGATGTCTACATGAGCAGCCTTTTGGGTAACAGGCAGAGGAAGGGCACGAAAGAAGAGCCTAAGATCACAGGAATACAATACCCATATTGAGGGTGAAGGGCAATTCCTCTGGGATTATCCAAGCAGAAAGTGTTGTTGGCATCCACACAGTGCTCGACCAACTTGCGGCGGTACCGACCATCGAGGTCAGAGACGGAGAGGCAGTTCAGAATGGCATCCACCCAATAGAGCTTCCTGGAATGGAAAGCCGGGAGTTACTGATACAACCATTTTGTGTGTGAAATGTGCATATTTAGTGACCCAATTTCTTATCCAAACTATCTTGGTGTCACACAGACAGCTGTTAGAAGGCACTTTTCCCCAGGCAAACAAAGGCAAGGGGGAACAAAACATTGACTTTTCTGCAGTGAGGCAACAGAAGATGCAAGAGTGTGAGCTACAATTCCCACTCTGAAGTGGTTGTCTCGTAGGGAATTCTGGGGCCACATCTCACACAGGAGTCTGGCTCTACTTTCTTCATGCAGCATGAGGCATCCCTCCCAGGCAATGCAAAGGCTTAGAGGAGCAGGAAAGTAGAAGTGAGAGCAATGAGTATCATGAACTATAGTTCAAATGGTAGAGTTGAGGAAGTAGACTTGTCTAAGTGTATCGTTGAGACTGCACAAAAGAACTCTGACTCATGACATCCTTAAGATCAAGAGAAACCTTAGCCCTCCATAGCCCTACAGGCTTGGCTGGCAAAATGCGCTTCTCATCTCTGTGCCATTTTCTGTAATAAAACCTAAGAAACTTCAGAAACTGATCAGAATCTGTTAGAAACTGCTATCTCAAGAATATTTCAGCTCTAAATATATTGCCATTCAATAGAATCCATGTATTTTCTATGAGGCAGGGGTTCTTAATGTGGAGTCCTTAATCTGACATGAGGGAAGCCTGGGTTTGGGAGTCTGGGAACCCTCTAAAATGGATGCAAAACTGTGCAAACATGTGTTGAGTACTTTTATCCAGCAAGAGGTTCACAGCTTTTACTAGACTTTTAAAGTACCTGTAGCTTTCCAAAGGATTCAATACCCCTAGAATTTCAATGTCTTTAGGATCTGAGTCAATTGAATTGGAAGGAGAATAATTCCTTTTCAAAAAGCCCAAATGTCTCCTTGCAAGAAGGAAGCCCTGCTCCAACCACCCTGGGCATCAGAATACTTAACTGTTAGAACCATAGCATCCTTTTAGGCCTGAGGATGAGGGAATGGCCCTGCCAAAATGTACAAGCCCTACTGGCTAATTCAGTTGGATGAAGCCTGATGAATGAGTTAGCCACATGTTTGGATTCCATCACTGTAGAGGCTAAGAACAGTAATATATTATAATAGCAGCTATTTATGGAATCATTACTAAATGCCAGGCCAAGACTAAGGACATGTAAAACATTCTATCACTTAAGGTCACAACAACTCTAGAAGTAGATGCTATTTTCATGCCTGTTTTCCTACTATGGCTGCTGAAGCCTTGAGGTTGTAAAATTAGTAAATAGTAGAGTATGTGGAATTCAAGACTAGCTACACCTCAGGACACTTCACTGTTGAGCTTATGCCAACTGATTAATTTCTCTCCATTCCACATTCAAAAGATTTATCCTTTGAGCAGACTTTTCATGAGAATACAGAAGAGACATTCCATCACCACTACTGGAAAAATTAAGAGGCCTGACAGCTGGTGCAATATTCCAGTGTGCCTACAGGTGCTGTTAAAAGCCAGTATATCAAGTTTAAGGCTTTGGAAACCAAACACTTGTGTTAGCAGTGGACATCTGTACTGATACTGGAAAATTGTTTCTGATTTCAATGCAGTTCATATCTTAGAAATGTCCCTTATAAACTTAAATACAGCTGGGCTCTATTCTTCCTCTGTGTTTAAAGCAACTTTTTACCTGGTTATGAACCTTCTTGAACATCTGAGAAAACACTTTGGCCCATGGGGTCATTTTACACCACCCTCACCCTAGACTTTCTGGCTCCATCTTCCTCACTACCACACATGTATGTAATTCTCTCTTCTGCTCATGAACATGCCTAGATGGAAAGAAAAGTAATGAAATTCAGAGGAAAATATCATCCTATCAGTTTTGGGAAGAGAGGGCTGAATGGCAATGTCTCAAAGTTAAAATAATATTTTGACCTGCATTGAAGTGAAGGAAGGGACAGGAGCAGAGTTGCGTTTAGTTCTGTTCTTGAAAATCACTAATTGTAGCTGAGGCACTATATATAAAATTCTTTTTCATATAGTCAATATTTTGTTGATTATTCAGAGGACATTAATTGAGCACTGATGGCAGGCCAGTTACTATTCAGGTAGAACTGAGAAGCAAACCCCAACCCCATTTTAGGATCTTTACCCTTAAAAAGGCCAAGATTTAAAGGAGGCTTCTGGAGGCCTGGGCTGACTGCAGCAATAATATTCACAGCTTAAGTGCCTGCACCTTTGTGTCTGTTAACCCCAAAGCCAACAACTTCACACTGCCAAGTATCTGACAGACCAATATTCAATACAGATGTTACAAAGGATGGTTGATCTGGTAAAGTTTAATTAAAATGTCACTTGCCTAGCTTAAAGACCCTCAACTTCTGGAAGGAATTCCTCAAAAGAGTTTCAGGTTAGCCATCTTCTATTTCATGACCCACCCAGGCTGGGACTAACTAACGTAAGCAAGCCTGTGAGTTCCAGGAAAAGTAGGACTGTGTCTCACTTGTTTACCTCTAGACTCCTAGTGCCTGGCATAGCACCTGGCATGTGGGAGGTACTCAGTAGGCAGTTTTGAATGACTGACTGTACCACTGAATGCATGAACATTCATTCGCCCCTTAACATCCTCTCTAGTTAACTGAATGGTCAGCAGTAGCAAAGCTCCTTCCTCTCTTGTGGTGCCCCACCCCATAAAAATGTTTCCATAAAATCTTAAAATCACTAGATTTTAAGTTCTATGGTATCCCATTGGAGCAGGACAAAATGAGCAGAGGCATTAAATGTATCCACATATTAACCCAAGTTGAAAAGATCAATTCCCTATTAAAATGAAATCATGGTTAGGATACTGTTTTTTAAAAAACTTTTTAATTTTTAAAAAGCTCCTTAGTATTTTCTTACCTGGCAACCCAGTCTACAGCCAGACCTTCTGCAGCTGGTAGTTTGTGGTGTATGACTGTCTCCCTATTTGTGTTATTCAGAAACATTCTCTCAATGACTTTATTCTCTACATCAATCCAGTACAATCTCTTTTCTACTCGGTCAAAATCCAGTGCCACAGCATTGCCCAGTCCTTGCAAAATAAGGGAGTAAAAATGGCCATCTATAGTTAAGTTTCTCAAATAGTATCGGTTGCTAAAAATGAGGTAGGGCTCAATGTTACTGTTCTGCCGGCAGCTCTTTCCGTCTGGTTCTCGGATGTAGCCTCGGGCACACTTACAGATGTAGGAGCCTATTATGTTCTCACACTTCTGACTACAGACGAAAGGTGTCTCCTTGCATTCGTCAATATCATTACAAGTGCGCTTGTCAAACAGAAGCTTGAAACCAGGATAACAAGAACAATAGAAACTGGTGAGCGTGTCAGTGCAGTTTTGATCGCAGCCACTGAGGAAAGAGTCATTGCACTCATTAACACCTGTAGGTAAAAGACAGGTATTAGAGAACCTAAAATGTCAGCAATGGATCCACCATAATGGCCCAAAGTCAACCTTTTCACTGGACAGTCCCACTTCTTAATGGATCATACTAAAAGAAGACAGGCAGTAAGAAGTTCCTAAAAGCCATAGATTACTCAAAAGTCACTATTTTTCAGCTTCACCCCCAACATAATTCCTCAAGAGTGGTTTTAACAACTAATACAACTAACAAGCTTAAGTTTCACTTCTAATCCTATACCTACCAATCTTCCTTTAACCAATAATTCAAAAAGTAAAATGTCAGATGAGAAGAAAAACAACAGAAATAAAGATTCTGGCCAGCAGTATGCTGGGAATACAGGTATCTGTGGAAAAAAATGCTGCTCTGATTTGTGGCATCTTCCATTTCAGTGATGTGACTACCACTCACAACATGGCCAATTTCAGGGTTGCAGGGTGACATCACCGCACAGAGAGCTGGGTTGACATGATACATTTGGCTCTCTCAAGATGGGATGAGCACCCAGCACACCACTGGGTGTACCTCTGGCTGGTCCTGTGATGTAAGGCCACGCTCATCCAAAAATTGTCTATACAGGGGAAAAAAACATGCTCTTATTAATCTATCATTTTACAAATTCTTAATGGGTTTACTTGTGGGGTAGAGGTTAAAACTCTCCCCTTCAGCCACCTGAAGATGGAAATGAAGAAGAGGCCAGAAACCCTAGCAGAGGGGCATTTCAGGTGGATGCCGTGCCAGGGCTCAAAGGCCATCAACATCACCTGCTTCATTCAACAACGCTCTTATATGTGGTTAGCCTGAATTTGCTGATCTTCTGTTCTCTCTGATGACTGCCTGATGAATTAGTCTAAAAATATTTGTGTACTAGCCTTTTTTTTACTAAGAAACCCTTGCTTTTTGATAGACAAGCAATAGTAATATTCTGGTAATATTCTACTTAGAGGACAGACTAGAAAGTTCTGGTAAAGGGTTGCAAATCCACATTCAGTGTCTCCATTTTCCTTTTTCCAAGTCTTCTATTATACTCACCACATCCTTTTTCATCACTGTTGTCTGAACAGTCATCCAGGCGGTTGCAGACTTTCACCATCTCAGTGCAGTTACCATTGTCACACTTGAACTGATGAGGTGGGCACGTGGTTTCTGGGATGTGGCACAGGTGCTCCTGCTCATCTGAGTTATCTCTACAGTCATTTTCCCCATCACAGACATAGGCCTTATTAATGCAGAACCCATTCTGACAGGTAAACTGAGTCTCACTGCAGGTGGAGTATGAGCAGTTCCTCTCATCACTGTAGTCACCACAGTCATTGTACCGGTCACACCTGTGTTATGAGACCCAGACCACTCTTGGAGAAGTTGATAACAAGTCCCAGCTATCACCCATTTGGGGCTTTGCTTCTTCCTCTATCTACCTGAAATGCCAAGTTGACCAATAACAAGATCACCAATGTCCTTAGTCCACCCCCTGCAGAATCTTCATCTGCCCCACCAACCTGTAGTCGTAGAAGAACCTAATATTGAGCAATCTATACAACTTCTCAGGTTACTGCCATTTGGAAAAGTTGGTATAAAGCCATTAAAAATAATTGTATTCATTTTATCTGCAGTGGACAAGTAAATTAAATACAATTTTTATAATTTTGGTGCTCGTCAGCTCTATTCATCAGCTAATGAGAGAGCTTATGGACACAGGCAATATCCTAGTGTAGCCCACAAGATAGAAATGCCCATACCCAAATGAGAATTCATAGGGTGAGTGCTGTATATTATAAGTGATGAGATCATTAGGTGTGCCCTCCCAGAACACACATCTTCCAACTGGAGCAGCTTTTGTTCCTTCCATCTTTCATTATGATACTCCTGCCAACTACTAGGAGAATGAGTGGTTTTGGTGATGGGAAAGAGGGAAAACAGCATGGACTATTGGCAAAGGAAGAAGGCAATACATAGCCCTACTTTGGGACCTAACATTTTCAGGCATCAAGAAGACAAATAATAGTGTCCTGATTTCTGTGAGCCAGACTGGTCTTTCTTCTCTACATTATTCCCAGACCCCATTAAAGTTATGATTCCTGAAGGAGTTCCTGCTAAAAGGAACAAAACACATAATAAGTATAAAGGAATCTGGGATAAGGGTTGGCAAAGGTAATGTTTGACAAATGATGAAAGAAATTATGATGGAGGGCACAGGAGCTAGAGAGAGAGCTTTAGAAGATGTAAAGGTACCAAAGGTGAATGTCATCAGTTGTACATCTGATCTATAGGCAGTTCACTCATCAGCACTGCCGTCCACAGACCTGGGGCAATACCAATGTGGACTGTACCAAAATGTGTGCACATAACTGCAAAGAAAACTGTGATTGAGGCAACCTGGCTCAGGCCCACTTGGTCTCCTGGGAGCTATTTAACTCATTTCCAAATGACATGAGACATTAATACATTCCTTCCTCTAGTTCAGATTCAACCCTAGGGGGAGAAAAGTCAGTTAGGCAAGCAAATCACCAAGTTTCTTTATTATTTTGGTATCATTAATCTACAATTACATGAGGAACATTATGTTTACTAGACTCTCCCCATCAGCAAGTCACCCGCACATTTCATATCACAGTCACTGTTCATCAGTGTAGTAAGATGCTGCAGAATCACTACTTGTCTTCTCTGTGTTGCACAGCCCTTCCCATGCCCGCGCCCCCCAACATTATACATGCTAATCGCAATGCCCTTTATCTTTTCCCCCACCCTTATCCCTACCTTCCCACCCATCCTCCCCAGTCCCTTTCCCTTTGGTCACTGTTAGTCCATTCTTGGGTTCTGTGAGTCTGCTGCTGTTTTGTTCCTTCAGTTTTTCCTTTGTTCTTATATTCCACATATGAGTGAAATCATTTGGTACTTGTCTTTCTCCGCCTGGAACTACTTTCACTGAGCATAATACCCTCTAGCTCCATCCATGTTGTTGCAAATGGTATGATTTGTTTTCTTCTTATGGCTGAATAATATTCCATTGTGTATATGTACCACATCTTCCTTATCCATTCATCTACTGATGGACACTTAGGTTGCTTCCATTTCTTGGCTATTGTAAATAGTGCCATGATAAACATAGAGGTGCATATGTCTTTTTCAAACTGGGCTGCTGAGTTCTTAGGGTAAATTCCTAGAAGTGGGATTCCTGGGTCAAATGGTATTTCTATTTTGAGCTTTTTGAGGAACCTTCATACTGCTTTCCACAATGGTTGAACTAGTTTACATTCCCACCAGCCGTGTAGGAGGGGTCCCCTTTCTCCACAACCTCACCAACATTTGTTGTTGTTTGTCTTTTGGATGGTGGCGATCCTTACTGGTGTGAGGTGATATCTCATTGCGGTTTTAATTTGCATTTCTCTGATGACTAGTGATGTGGAGCATCTTTTCATGTGTCTGTTGGCCATCTGAATTTCTTCTTTAGAGAACTGTCTGTTCAGCTCCTCTGCCCAATTTTTAATTGGATTATTTGCTTTTTGTTTGTGGAAGTGCGTGAGTTCTTTATATATTTTGGATGTCAAGCCTTTATTGGATCTGTCATTTATGAATATATTCTCCCATACTGTAGGATGCCTTTTTGTTCTATTGGTGGTGTCCTTTGCTGTACAGAAGCTTTTCAACTTGATACAGTCCCACTTGATCATTTTTGATTTTGCTTTCCTTGCTTGGGGAGATATGTTCATGAAGAAGTCACTCGTGTTTATGTCCAAGAGATTTTTGCCTATGTTTTTTTCTAAGAGTTTTATGGTTTCATGACTTACATTCAGGTCTTTGATCCATTTTGAATTTACTTCTGTGTATGGGGTTAGACAATGATCCAGTTTCATTCTCTTACATGGAGCTGTCCAGTTTTGCCAACACCAGCTGTCGAAGAGGCTGTCATTTCCCCATTGTATGTCCATGGCTCCTTTATCATATATTAATTGACCATATATGCTTGGGTTAATATCTGGAATGTCTATTCTGTTCCACTGGTCTGTGGCTCTGTTCTTGTGCCAGTACCAAATTGTCTTGATTACTGTGGCTTTGTAGTAGAGCTCGAATTTGGGAAGCAAGATCCCCCCTGCTTTATTCTTCCTTCTCAGGATTGTTTTGGCCATTTGGGGTCTTTTGTGGTCCATTATGAATTTCAAAACTATTTGTTCCAGTTCATTGAAGAATGTTGTTGGTATTTTGATTGGAATTGCATTGAATCTGTAGATTGCTTTAGGCAGGATGGATATTTTGACAATATTAATTTTTCCTAACCAAGAGCATGGAATGAGTTTCCATTTTTTAGTGTCCTCTTTAATTTCTCTTAAGAGTGCCTGACAGTTTTCAGGGTATAGGTTTTTCACTTCCTTGATTAGGTTTATTCCTAGGTCTTTTATTCTTTTTGATGGAATTGTGAATGGAATTGTTTTCCTGATTTGTCTTTCTGTTAATTCATTGTTAGTGTATAGGAAAGCAAGAGATTTATGTGTATTAATTTTGTATCCTGCAACTTTGCTGAATTCAGATTTTAGTTCTAGTAGTTTTGGAATGGAGACTTCAGGGTATTTCATGTTCTTCTTTTTCCAGTTTCAATAATTGTGACTTTAGAATATTCGTTTGGGAATATTCTAACTTCTGTAGATAGGCCTGGGTTGCTATATACTTTCTTCTTAGAACTACTTTCACTGTGTCCCACAGAAATTGGGGCTTTGTACTGTTGGTATCATTTGTCTCCATATATTGCTTGATCTCTGTTTTAATTGCATCTCATCTGCAAATAGTGACAGTTTGACTTCCTCTTTACCAATCTTGATGCCTTGTATTTCTTTCTTTTGTCTGATTGCTGTGGCTAGGTCCTCCAGTACTATATTGAGTAATAGTGGGGTGAGTGGTCCCTGTCTCATTCCTGATCTTAGAGGAAAAGCTTTCAGCTTCTCGCTGTTAAGTATGATGTTGGCTGTGGGTTTGTCATATATGGCCTTTCTTATGTTGAGGTACTTGCCCTCTGTGCCCATTTTGTTTAGAGTTTTTATCATGAATGGATGTTGAATTTTGTTAAATGCTTTTTCAGTGTCTATGGAAATTATCATGTGGTTTCTGTCCTTCTTTTTGTTGATGTGGTAGATGATGTTGATGGATTTTCAAATGTTGTACGATCCTTGCATCCCTGAGATGAATCCCACCTGATCATGGTGCATGATCCTCTTGATGTATTTTTGAATTTGGTTTGCTAATATTTTGTTGAGCATTTTTGCATCTATGTTCATCAGGGATATTGGTCTGTAATTTTCTTTTTTGGTGGGGTCTTTGCCTGGTTTTAGTATTAGGATGATGCTGGCTTCATAGAATGAGTCTGGAAGTATTCCCTCTTCCTCTATTTTTTGGAAAACTTTAAGGAGAATTATGGTATTTAAGGGTATTATGTCTTCTCTATATGTCTGATAAAATTCAGCGGTAAATCCATCTGGCCCAGGGGTTTTGTTCTTGGGTAGTTTTATGATTACTGGTTCAATTTCTTTGCTGGTAATTGGTCTGTTTAGATATTCTGTTTCTTCCTTGGTCAGTCTTGCAAGGTTGTATTTTTCTAGGACGTTGTCCATTTCTTCTAGGTTTTGCAGCTTGTTAGCATATATATTTTTTTTCATAGTATTCTCTAATAATTTTTTGTATTTCTGTGGGTTCCATCGTGATTTTTTCCTTTCTCATTTCTGATTCTGTTGATGTGTGTAGATTCGCTTTTTCTCATAATAAGTCTGGCTAGGTGCTTATCTATTTTGTGTATTTTCTCAAAGAACCAGCTCTTGATTTCATTTATTTTTTCTATTGTTTTATTGTTCTCAATTTTATTTATTTCTTCTCTGATCTTTATTATGTCCCTCCTTCTGCTGACTTTGGGCCTCTTTTGTTACTCTTTTTCCTATTTCAATAATTGTGACTTTAAACTATTCATTTGGAAAGTTCTTCCTTCTTTAGATAGGCCTGGATTACTATATACTTTCCTCTTAGAACTCCTTTCAGTGGATCCCACAGAAGTTGGGTCTTAATACTGTTGGTATCATTTGTCTCCATATATTGCTTGATCTCTGTTTTAATTTGGTCATTTATCCATTGATTATTCAGAAGCATGTTGTTAAGCCCCTCCATATGTTTGTGAGCCTTTTTTCTTTTCTTTGTACAATTTATATCTAGTTTCATGCCTTTGTGGTCTGAGAAGTTGGTTGGTAGAATTTCAATCTTTTTGAATTTACTGAGGCTCTTTTTGTGGCCTAGTATGTGGTCTATTATGGAATGTTCCATGTGCACTTGAGAAGAATGTGTATCCTGCTGC